GTGCAGAATGGAGGTTTTGTAGTCCAGAAGAATTTGCCAAACTTCTTTGTATTTGTGCTCTAGTCTTTTCAGCAAAAATAACACTGAATGAATAGATAATGAAATTACAGTGACCTACGGGACTACTTTACAATCAGTGCATGCCCTAAAGTATTGCTTTGTAACATGTTTTATACTAAATGTTGATGTTCAAGTGAGCCTTTGACAGTGACAGCTATTTGACAGTGACAGACAATGATATTTATAAAACTGTTGCAATAAATGCCTTTTTAGTCTAAGAAAACGTGTGGTATGGCATTTATAAAGGGGGGAAAACATCTCCATGAGGTTGAAGAAGTCTCTGCTGCTGCCTGTATTAATAATTCATTCTCGTGCCATGGGCTTGAATTTATTAGCCTGACTAATTCCATTTAAGTCAGTGAGGTTGGTCACGTTAGCAAATTAACAGATGTGAGAAGATCATCTTTTTTTTTTTTCTACTATATGAATCACAATGAAGCTGTAAGTAAACGTGATCATCTCTATTTTAGCTAAATATTACCATGTTCTCAATTGCTATACATACGTAGAATTTACAGGTTCCTGTCATGACCTCTGTGCTGTGTTTTCATAACCTATTTGATACAAATATGTTCAAGTTGAATTATTACAAATTTGGGGGTTCTTTATCTATTGTCATCATTGCCCTATTCCTTGGCCAGAATGGCTGATGAAGCTGGAACAGGCTTTTGCAGAAAATAAGAAAATAAACTATATTAGAAATTGGCAATTAAGGAGGAAGTGCCATGATACTCAGCAAGCAAAAGCAGCTGTAGAAGTCTCTCAAACAGGGATGCTTCAGTTTCTGAGATTTCTCAGGTTTGAGCAGGTATTTTAGCTCCTTACGGTGGATTAGGAAGAAGAGTTGGCTCAGGGCAACAAGAAATGTATTGCTTGTACACTGTGTGGTCTGTTTGTTGTGTTTGTAGTATTATTCCAAGCCTGTAGCTGCAGGCTGCAAGGAAGGATGGATCTTATGTGTGTCAGATACTTGTGCACTGTCCAAGCCATCATGATCAGTAGAGGCATTGCATATACCAAATAGATTTAAATTATATTCTGTTTGTCTTGCAGTACATGACTGCTGACAGATTGGTGAGGAATTTGTCACAAACCTGATGAATCCCAAACATTCTGCTGTTACTCAGATCTCTGTATATCCAGCTCTTGTTCTGTGCACACAGCTATCGTGTGGGATAACCCTGCAAGACAGAGCTCTGAATGTTGTCTATCCACAGGTCCTACTGGTGCTGTTTTGCATGCTTTTTCCAGTGATTGAACTTTCTGTGTTGGTGCTATTGACTCCTCTGCCTTACAACCATGCATTTCATTCCCTTTGTTACCTGAACAAGATTCACAGTCTTCTGTGTGAATCATTTAAGCATCACTCTGCTGATAATTTTGTACACTTTAACTGAAATGTTGAACAAAGTTGTTTCTGCAGTAAAGTCAGGCTATAATCACTGGGTGCAATTAGACATGGTGTTCCCAAGGATTAGTTTTCATGTTATTTTCACCAATATTTTGTAACTGACATTTAATTTGGAGCCCTCTCATCTTAGCAGTTGAGCTGCATAAAAGAATAACTTTTTCATTAGCCCAAAATGCAAAGACCATATGCAGATGACCTAAAGATGCAAAGTTTATATCTTAAATCATAAACTTTTTTTTCTTTGCTTCTGGTACTAGTGAAGTATTTACATTGAGTATTTTTAATTGATCTGGAGATGGTATTTGTCATTAAATGGAGGTGAATTTAAGGAGTGAGATTAACCTCAACTGAATGTTCACAAATGTTCAGTAACACAGGTTAAAACAAAGTCTCTTATGCAGGGACAGTTCCTTTCTAAATACACAGGCCAGTACTGACACCTTGTGGCTTTGTTTCTGACTTATTTCATAGCTCCCTGTGGTTATTTTGGTTGTAAATAATTATTAACCTGCAGTAGCTAGCATTGTCTATCTCCTCTGCTTTGTGGCTGCGTCAGTGCCCAGTATTTTGTATCATGTGTGAGAGAGCTTGGAATTTTGGTCTGCGTTGACTGCACATTGAGTGAATAAAGAGCTAGGGGTGTCTGACCTCTTGAACAGGACTTGAAAGGTGTCAGTTCAGAGCACAAAATCCTGTGCAGAAGCAGACAGAAGTTACAAGCTTCTCTTTTACTAATTAATACCTGATTTTATGCTTCCCTCTACATAGGAGAGCACCAGAGACTGTCAGTACTTACCACATATACTTTTAGGTGCATACATATTTTCTCCACAGATGTTTAAAAGCATTCCTTTGCTGCCCTCTTCACCCTTGAACAATTCCTAATAGGAAAAATACAATCAAAGAGACTGTTGTAGAATTTCTGGCAGTATAGGAGCCTGCTACTTATCTTTGACCATAAAAATGCCTAAATCAAATGTATCAGTGCAAGTTATACCTAAAAGGGCATCTAATCTAAAATCTCTTGCCATTTCAAATGGCAAAGATAGACAAAACCAGCTGTTAAGTTGCTATTTGAAATCTGTTGTGGAATTAAGCTTTAGAGGCTGGGGTGTGTCTTGTGAAGATCACACATCCTCCCTCAGCTGTCAAAGAGATTCAGAAATTGTTTTCTGACGTTTATGGGTCATGTCCCTGTTCTTAAGTGATCCTGTTGTGGTCATATATGAATTAGATATCTTTATTTTATTGCATTGTTGGTTTTTTTCCCCTTTCTAATATGTTTAGTTGTTCATAATGAATACTGAAAAACATAATTGGAAATAAAAGGTCTTAAACAGTAGGGACCAGATCCTTGGCTTATGTAAATCCATATTTATAGCTTCACGCAAGTCAAGGAGGTGGCATTAATTTCTGTTCCTGCAGAACATGGCTGACTGAGTCTGTTAAGAAAAATTAAAGTAATAAGGATGTGCCTATGAAGATCTGATTTATCGGCATCTCTGTTTAGCTAACAGAAGGATTAGAACTCTCTGCTCTCCCTCTGTGTAAATCTTAATTGACACTTGCTAACTGAACTTCAATGCAATAAAGGTATTGTAATGAGCAATTAGAGTTTGGCTTCTGAACTAAAGAGAAAAGTTCAGGTAATGATGCATTCTTGTTACCTATTTCAGCACCCTGCCAGGAGGCAGATCTATCTGATCAAAGAGCTGTGAGTGACAGTATCAGTTTAAGGTTCAATAAAAGCTTCTCGTATGGACAACTGCTCGTAATGCCTCATCACCACCAGGATCAAACAAAGTGCCTGTAGGTTTGCAAGTGCTTTCGTGGCATAAAATTAAAGTACTTTGTTGAACCTACATGTGATCTATTTAGCAAAGGGAAAACAAAGAGCTGCAGGAGCTCAGAGGAACCTTTACAAGTGTGAACTTCTGTGTAACTGGCAGGAAAGGCTTTGCAGGGACAGGTCAGAACTGCAGTGCCAAACCTCAAAAAGCTGGCTTGGGCCCAGCCCCACCTACAGCTTCAGGATGCAGCATAGTCACAGGAAGTGTGTTGAAAAACCTCTACCTCTCATACTTGGTATTATGGTAGGGATAGGTCTCATCAAGCCGTGGTATCATCTAGTTTTGGTATTGCTCTGCATTTAAAAGCTAGGTACGAATAGGTGTATTCCTGCTTTACAAGTTAAAGACAGTTGTGCTCAGGATAATTTCAGCTTTTTAACATCTCCATCATGCAAGAAATGCTCCATTAAAATCCTTGTGGACTCCAATCTAACGTAAGGTTAAACTAGCATGTGAATTCTGAAAAATACAAGCATTTGATTGTTTTCCTATTTTTTAATATTCTATGCACTTTTTATATGTTGAGTGGTATGTGATCTCTTTATTATGATGTACACGATATGCTCTATCTCCTTGAAAAGAAAGAGAAAGAGCTCCTTGAGGGTTTTGGCATTACCAGTAGCTTTAGCACCTGCTGAACGGTTGTCTTCAGCCGTGGAAGGAAAATTTTGAGTAGTTCAAGTGTTATGGATTTCAGCCCTTGCAAAACTTGCTTGGACCAAGTGAATGTATTACAGATGCACTTAGACCACTTGTAAAATGTTAGCAGTTGCCTTTATGCCTGGACTGAGGCGTTTGGTGTGTACCAGCTGCAGGAAATTAGCTCCTCTCTAGGTTATTTGCAAATACCATTTGATGCTACACAGTCCTAAATGTCAGGTCTAAAAAATCGTACAGCACTTCTTCGGTGGGCCTGATTGCCAGTAAAAGAGCAGATTCTTCCTTACTAAATAATTTGTTGCCAGAACATGTTAAGACAAGACAAAATCCGCCAGCTGGTCTAACCAGTCTTGCTCTCCACCATGCAGTGGTGGCACTCCAAATCTCCGAATTTATTCCGCTCCCCGAGACTACAGCAGCAGTAGGGAGAGTGTTCAGCGAAGCAGGACGGGGCTGCACTTGTGGGACGGGGATGAGGTTGCGCCGCAAGCTGCTGGGCTCCTCCATGCTCCAGCCTTTGGCCGCCTTCTTCGGCGAGCGCCGCGAAGGCGCTGGGCAGCCTCGGGCCGCGCTCGGCGGGGACCGGGCGGGCTCCGGGTCCCCGCCCAGCCCCGCAGCGCCGGCCGGGCGGAGGGAGCGCGGCCACCGCCCTCCCGCAGCAGAGCTCCTACATTTCCCAGCTCGCTTCCCGACCGGCACCGCCCCTTTCCCGCCGGGCTGGGCGCACGCCCGGAGCCGCGCGGCGGCGGCACTACAGCCCAGGGCCCCTGCGCGCCCTCGGGCACGACCGCCCCGGCAACCGCGCTCCGCGCCCGCCAGCGGCGGCCGTGCCCGTGCCCGCCATGGCTGACAGCGCAGAGCCCGCGGCTCCCGCCGCCGGTCCCGCCGCGGCTCCGGATGCGGGTCCCGCCGCGGCCCCTCCGGGCTCGCCGGCGCAGGAGCGGCGGACGGGCGGCTCCCCCGGCGCGGGCGCGGCCATGCCGCGGCTGCCGCTGGGCGGCCCGGGCGGGGCGGCGGGGATGTCGCTGCCGCGGCTGGAGAAGCCGATCAAGCAGGCCTTCTACAACACCGGGGCGCTGCTGTTCGCGGGGCTGTGCTGCGGCGCCGCCGTGCTCGTGTACTTCATCCTGGAGGCGTTCTTGCGGCCGCTGCTCTGGGCCGTGCTCTGCGGCACCTTCCTGCACCCCTTCAAGACCTCGCTGACGGCGCTGGGGCGGCGCTGGCTCGGCCGCCTGCACCGCTCCCGCACCCCGGTGCTGCTGGCCGCCCTCCTCCTGCCCATCTGCTTCGCCAACTACGGCGTGGAGGCGCTGGGCGAGCAGGTGCTGCGGCGGCGGCGGCTCCTGCTGCTGCTGGGCGCCGGGGGGCCGCTGCTCTACGGGCTCTACTGCCTGGGCAGCTCCCTGGGCGTGCAGGTGCTGCTGGCACAGGCCGCCCGCATCATCTGCCAGGGGCTCGACTACTTCAGCAGCCAGTGGGTGAGTGAGCCGGGGCGGGAGGGAGTGTCGGTGTTCCCGGCCGCGCTTTAGGCATGCCCCGCTTCTGGAGATGCTGTTAAGTCCGAGGTGATTCAGGCGAGTTCTTGGGCAAACATCGAAGCTCGTTGAGGTTTAAGGTGTGTATTAAAGTGTTGTGAAATAGCAGCGCAGCTCCACAAGTGACCTGGGATGTGGGGGAAGGCACCTTTAAGGCTTTTTCAGTGTACTGTGTAGGGTTTTCTTTTTCTTCTTAGATTATCAAGCAGTGCAAACGCAATTTGAACGTTAAAAAGTAAAGCTGTGTCATTTGCAAATGTTACTGATGGTTACAAATCCTGGGAGACTACTTTTCCCTGTGTTCTGTTCAGTAGGTAGGATAGTTAGAACTTCTGGCAGAACTCTTTTACACTTTGTTAGTTATAACTGAAAATACAAGAAGTACCACATATCAGAAGCAAATGGATATGTGAAAGATGAGAAGATCAGTAAGTTGTACTCTTGTTAAATACTTGTGTACAACTGGCATACTCAGATTTCTTAGTGTCAAAGGCTTTTCAAAAGCTGCTCTATTTTTTAAACAAAGTATGCCCTTTCCCTAGATAACTGCGTTCCTGAATGGACTGACAGAATATTTTGACGGACCACCTCTAGTGTGAATAGAATGGTCAGGAGAATGTGTTTAGCCTCTTGAAAGTAAACACTGGAGGAAAAGATTTTCTTGACTTTATTTGGTTCTGGAAGATGTCAGAGGACATGTGTTTCTGGTCTGTTTTGTCTGGGAAGTGTAATTAGGACGAGTAGACAGAGATACATTCTCTCCTCATAAAGAGGCAAGATACTACCATGTTTACTTTCAGCTGAGTAGTACCAGAACTAAAGCATGGCCTTGTACTAGTGGGAAGCTTTGACTTGTTGCCACATAATTTACTCGGTAAGCTAAGGATTTTTGTTTTAAGAATTTTGCACTGACCTCTCTGTTTTGTTTTTAACAAATCTGTAATATTGCTACACTAACTGATCTGGCTAAGTCCAGGCTTTTATTGAAAGTTTGTTAATTAAGCCATACTTAACACTGTGTAAGTGCAAGGCTAAGGAAACTGTACTTATTTAAGCTTGTAACTATGACTGTAATGCACTGCTTGATGTCTGTGCCTGCTCAGTGCAAACTTGTTTAGCAGTCTCTGATCCTTCTGGTTGGCACTGGTGTTTCTGATTCAACACTTGTGTTCACTGAACTGTGGTAGGATTTTAACTGCACAAAACATAGTAAGCTCCCAGAACTCTTCAGACTTGAGTTTCTTGGGACGATTTTGGGTTTGTCTCAAGGTAACTGACCACAGAATTCCTTAAACAAACCAGTTGCTCTCTAAGCAAGCTGTATGTGTCTCTTTCTGGGGCCTTATAGGAGAAAAAAATCTCGGGCTTTGCTTTGTAAGTAACTGCAACTTGGTCTGGCATAATCTGCACACTTTACAGTGTTTTCTTAGTCCAGTTTTTTGAATTTTGGAGTTGCTTAATGTATTATCTCATAGCTGTAGCAGGATAATTTAATTTTCTCCATGCTACTGAGGACCCCTGAGCTGGATCAGTTAATAGTGTCAGTTTTAACTTCAGTTAAGCACTTTAAAGTCCTTTAATTGCCATGTTATATTGCAGGACTCTATTTGCATACATATATTGTGCTTGTTAGCTGCACAGGAATTTGGGATATTACGAGTTGGTTTCTCCATTGTACTGTTCTTCTCTGGGCTCTGAATCCTCCACAGTTCCTTCTGTGCGAACAATTGTCTCCTCCTTTTCTGATTCCCTATCCTGTATTAGAGAACTGAGTGGATGCCTATCATTAGAAGTATGGGAATCTGGAATACTGGTTTGTTATTCTCAAACTAAAGGTATTTTTATGGTGTCTACTAGGCCATGGTACTGAGACAGAAATTCTCCTTTTAAGTTCTAGAAAAAAAGAAGGTTCTTTAAATGCAGTAAGCGTGTGTGACAATGACATGGTAAGGTGTATTTTGACACCACTATGTTAAAGAGCTTTTCTGTCCCACTGTCCTCAAATCTGGCAAAGCCATTCATGGCATTGATGAGTCAAGATTCAGAAGTGCCTGTGTTGCCATCCATGGCTCTGAAATCACATCTGCAGTTCAGGAATTTATGTACCTCCATGATTGGATTGTTTGATTGAATGATTGTTCTGACTCCAGCCTTCTCTTGGTTATTTGCAGAATTCTTATGCAGAGAACAGCAGTTTCGTATAATAGGGCAGGGGAGTGTTTTTCACTATAGTTTTTATTCTCGTAAAGGATGGAAGTTGGTCCCATAGTGGACTGAATATAGTCCTACACGCTTTTGGGCTGCAGCAATTTAACTAGTTTTGCGGGAACTATGCCTGTGTCCAGCACTGTATCTAAAAACCAAATTCTTTTGCTATGTGGCAAGAGTTCAAACTAGTTGAGGCTGATGTTTTACACTTAAGTTAATATATACCCAATGCCAGGTATTCGTTATATTTTCTTCTTCTTTTTTTTTTTTAGAAGAAGAATTTGCATGCTCGTATTTATTTGGAAAACAGTTTGTAGATCCTAGCAGATGTAAAAATTATACAGCTGCTCTTTATTGGCTCTGAGGTTCATCTTGGTAAATTAAATTTGATGTAATCATAATGAGCAGAATTTTATGCAGTGAACTTGATTACAGAGCTGTCAAAACCTTTCTCTCTGGCCAGTCTTTCTTCCTTGCTTTGTCACAAGTTGTTGATCAGGCTCACAAATGTTTAGTTACATGTGTGTCAGTGTATTTTTATATCTCTGACTGTAATAGGTACAACTCCTGTTGTTCTGGGGGTTTGCATGCAGTTACAGCATTTAAATCAACCTTAGCCTCACCAGGATGCTGGACAGATCTGAAAATGCCATTGCCCACCATTGCTGTGACTGCTGTATTGGAATATTGTCAGAGTACATGTAACCTATTTTGGCTGGTGTACAGTCTGTTCCCCAGCGGGGATTCTGTGGAAGACATCCACCAGGGAAACCTCCATTTGTGTTGGCACTAAATGTCACTCCCACAGCAGCCCTTGCAGAATGAAATTCTCCAAGCATCCTTCCTGGCAAATGCTTTGGGTCCCATCCTCTGAGATGTTTGCCTTCCACAGTCCTATTGAGAATCACGCCTGGGGGCAAAAAAAGTATCTATGTTTTGTCAAGTTCACCTGATGGGGCAATTTCTCTCCTAATAAAGGAAGGGGCAGAGTTCTGATTTTAAATGTGTGTACAATTTCTATTTCTCTGAGGGTTTAGCATAGGTGGGCTTTTTTTTTTCTTCCCTTTCTTCTTAGAGCAGGCTTGCAGGTTTCTGAAACTTGCTAACCATAAAAAAACCCCCAAACCCAAAACAAACACCTGAACAAGCTCTTAAGTGTTCTTTCTGCTCTTTATTATGGTATCCTGGCTTATAAATCATAAAGCCAAGTACTGAGTGTAAACACATCTTACCAAAACCACGGATTTTGGTTTGTTTTCACAACTTTGCTTGGTAGAGATAAACTATGTAGACCCCCCAGGTGGCCTGTTTGAAAACAAGATGGGGAGAGGCAGGGATGTTGATAGTGTTTTGTACTGTTGTTTTTCCCTTGCACACCCACCCTCAGTTTTGGAAGAGCCTGCAGTGAGATACCTTTCTTCAGGAGGCTGAGGAGCTTGTTCTGATTTATATGCAGGAACTACAGCCTCAAAGCTGGCAGTAGCCTAAAGCCTAATGATATATGTTACATAATGTTCACTGTTTATTCGTATTTATATGTATTGGTTGAACACAGTGATATTTCTTTTTCCAGCACCTCTGAAAGGAATGATCATTATGGAACTGTCCAGCAAAATTTTAACTGTACTTTATTAATAAAAGAAGAAGGTGCAGAAATTGTGTGTCTTGACAGCCATCTCTTGAAAAGTGTTACCATGAAGTATGTCAGAGGAGTGGTGCTCTGTCTGGAGGGAAAGAATTTGATGTGCTCTGGGAAGCCTCTTTTTGCAAGAGAATCTTGATAAATTTGATTTCTGAATAGCGTTTTCATTACAAGTTTCTCATAAGTAGCTTTTGTATTAAGACAGGAAAAGTGAACTAAAGGAAAAGTATTCTCAACATCCATTGCTGCAGTCTTCTGGATATCTTAGATTTAATGTTTTTTTTTTTATTAAATTCAGTGTAATAAATGTTGCAGGACACGTTGAAAGTAATTTTTAGCCCATGTGTGGCAGTGTTGATTTTGATGGTCAGTTCTCTCCTGCCTCAGTGTTCTAGTTAGAGGTTCATACTTACATCCCATCAAAAATGGATGACCTCACTAAACACCATGTTTGTGTTTCATGTGGTTTAATAGTCTGTGTGTTTTAATGCCAGAAATACAAACATGGATATATGTCACACTTGGTGGTTCTGGAAGAAACAGAATGGGCACACAGTTCTAGTCCCTTAGACTTGGGATAAGGAATAACTTGTGCTCACTTTGAACCTGCTTTAAGTAAATGAAGGCTTCCTAAGTGAAGGGAGGAGGTGGTTGTCTTTGCTCTGAGGTGGAAAATAATCTTACATATGTGATTAGTTGGAGTTTGGGTATTTTCTTACGTGTTCAATAAAGGCTGTCTCCATGCTAAAGGACAGGCAATTAGACACTCATATTCTGCCAGACTCTGCACATCATAGGATGTTTCCTCTTGTGAACCAATGAAAATGCACTAAAGCTACATTCAATTAATTTTGGTTCTGGAAACTGGAGTCAAAATGACATTTTCATAATCTGTCAACTACCTCCTTGCTATCTCTTATATTGTTTAGAAAAACATTTTCAAATGAACAGGCAGATAAAGAAAACACTGATTTTTATTTTTTTTTCAAAGGCAAACACAGTTTGGCTTTTAGCAGTGCATTTGATGCCTTGTGTCACTTCATTTTTCAAGTCCAACACTCTTCTGCTCAGCTTTTATGGTAGGTTCATTTTCCTTTGTCAGCCTGCATCACTACTGAGGAGGGAGATGTAGAAATAGAGAACTGGTGTCATAAGATCACCCCTTTAAACCATTTTTGCTCTGCAGTGGTGTTTTAAAAGTTTACAAGAGTGCTGTTAGTGCTTGGTCAGTGTTTTAAATTATTTTTTATTTTGAGAAAAACTAATGAAAATCTCTATTTCCAAATGAAAATTTTGTTTTAAAATATTAAAGGGGACTGATGAGGTAATTTGGCCTTTTTTTTTGTTCAAAACACTGAGACTGGAAATGAAAAGCAATTGAATTGGATCCATCAAACAGTTTTAAATTTAAAGCTCAGTTAAAATCCCCCAAACAAACCAAAACATAAACCAAACTCTGTAAAACCTTGCTGTATTATTTCCAAGTGGGAAAGAGCAGCCAGGGAAAAACACATCATTTCAAAATGGCCAGAGGAGAGGGTAGAGCTACAATTAGAAAAGGAAGGAGTTCAGACACTCAGTTTTGTAGGTGCTGACTTGTTAAAAAATGAAAAATGTTGGTAGGGTATCTATCAAAGGAGGTAACTGTTGGTTCATCTTCTCAGTCTTCACTGTTGTGTTTACTTGTGGAGTGGTTCGTAGAATCATGGAATATCCTGAGTTGGAAGGGACCCAGAAGGATCACTGAAGTCCCACTCCTGGCCCTGCACAGAACCTGGGTGCTGGGGTGTTGGGGCAAAATTCCAAGGAAGACAAAATCATTTCAACAGCTTTGCTATCTTCTGCAGTAGGAAGATAGATTCTTCTTGCCTTTTCCACTTCTAATACATGCTTCTGTTGCCCTGTTGTTGGTGCCTGCCGTATTTCCATGAGCCTATAACTGGATTGCAGGGTAGTTTTTATGAGCTTAGGGAGCTTGAGCTGGCTGGATCAATGTTGAAGCTGTTGTGCAGAAGAGGTGGGACCACCCAGCTGGCAGTAGGAGACAATGAATTGCCATTTTCAGTAGCAGTGAGTTATTGAATGCCCTCATCTGCAAAACTTTCCCTGTAGAGGTTAACTTGTTGATAGGAAAAAAGGGAGTGAACTGTGTAAGTAAAGAATTTTACTTTTCAACATAAATCAATATAAATGTTGTCAAAAGTTGAGTAGTATGAGTTTGTCCTTGAAAAATGAGGCCAAAGCCAAAGAGTGGCTCAGATTTTCAAATCCTTCAACTTCAACAGGAAAGGGAAACAAGCTTTCATTTATGTTGCTGATAGTTCATGCTGATAAATCCGTGACTTTCCAGCACTAGAGTGTCGAAGAAAAATCACTGAAGCAGATGCATGAGTTTAACATATAAGCTGCATCTTTCTGTGGTGTAATTTTGTCTCCAGTTGACAATTTAAACAGAACTAAAGTCCTTCATAGTTGCCTCATACATCTCCAAATCTGCCTTTTAAATTTACCACTTTAACACAGAAATGGATGCTAAAATCCGAGGAGTTACTCTGCAGCCTTAGCACTGTTTGTTCAAAAAAACAGGCAGTTTTACGTGTCTAAAAGCAAAGCAGCACTTGATTCAGTTTGTGAGAGATGGTACAAAATGCAGAAGAGATGTGAAAAATGGTCTTTGCTGTCTGTGAAGACAACGAAGATAGGCAAGGGAAGGAAGAAGGGCAGCTTGCAGGATTTAGCTATCCCAAGGTTGCGATACATGGAAGTTGTGTGTGTCTGTAAATAATAATTGTGATTGAGTAGGGATTTAAGATCTCAGAGTACATGGTGAAAGTTAGGCATCTGCAACTGATTTCAGCTTGGTAAATAGTTGATGATAATGCATTGTGCAGAATCTCAAGTGTATGTATTAGTTACCTGGTTAGCTGTATGCTCGTATGAATCAAATTATAGGCATTTTGGCTTAGCATGGAATCTTATCAATTACAGTTTCAGTGCAATAATTGCAGTAGCTTAATTTTAGTGAAAGTAGGCAGTCTTTCATGCTTTGTTTCAATTGCATCATTTCTTGAGAATGACATATAATAGTAGAGCAGCTATTAATATTCTCTGTGCTTTTCAAGCCAAAACCTTTGGAGACCATCCAGAAGAACAGTGGGAAGGATTATGTAACATACTTTTAAAGGGTTAAGGAAAAAGAAAGTATGCTGTTGCCAAGTTAGTATGGGATGAAATCCTAGTCCATGTCAATTTAAGTTAATTTGATTTGTCAGTTGCTTTCAGCTATGAACTGTTGGAAGTAAGCTACCCTAGTTCCTGTGCAGTGGTTCTTGCAGTGTTGGGATGTGCTTGGCCATAACATGAACCAATAAAGAGCTGATTATTCCATGGTGTCACTGAAATTAAACTTCTTGCCCGAGTCAATTGACTACACAGTTCTTTGTACAGGGCTTCAGGAAGGTTATTATGTGATCTCTGAAACAGGGTGACTGATTTATTTAAAAGTAACCTATTTCTCTCTATTCAGTAGAAATAAATACTTCTACTTGGGTCATTTGCTAAGATTTTACGAATGAGAACTGATTAGTTATTTTAACTTCAAACGCAAAATAACTATTAATTACCTAAACCTTATAATGTTCTGCTACATGCATGGCTAAAAGCAGTGCAGTGTGTTTTGCTTTGTTGGCTGTTGAACATAGGCTTATATGTCTATGTTAGCCTCCTACTTTTTGGCTTGTTTTTAAACAGTTTAAATCACTAAACAGACTGAGTCTCCTCAGTATGAGTCTCCTGTTTGTAATTTATCACTAAATTTAAAAGCTAAAGAGAAAATTGGCTTGGAACTGGAACATTTATCATACAAAGATGCTGTGTGGCTGATGTTAGGGAGTTGGATAGCATCTCTGTGATTAGAGCTGTGCTGTAAAGTGCCTTATGAGTGAATTTATGTTTCAAGCCTATGCTGTTAAAAGAGTGCTACTGTGCATTTCTGGTAAAAATTTTGTTTGTGACTTTAATCTTGATGTCCTTGGATTGTGTTAGTTTTAGACATTTACTTTGAGTCCACACTAGGCCATAAGCATCATTTGCATCTGTTGATGCAAAACTAGAGATAAGTGAAAAGTTGGAGTGATCTGCTTAGATGAGAAGCATTAAAGGGTAGGTATACCTTTGTTCACATGTCTTAAGTGATTTTAAATTACCTTGCATATGCGATCATTCCCTCTGGAGTTACCAGGGGCCATCACTCACTGCTTGTCTGCTCAATTCAGTACAGCTAAGATTTCTTCCCCACCAATTAGATACATGGCAGTAGTCACACAAATCTGCTTTGCACAAGGACTCTTGCATTTTCAGCATGAGTTGTATAGTGCAGAGTGAAGGTGAAATCTCTTCTAGTGTATTCTGCCTAATTATTTGTTCTATGTCTCTGCTTGTGCATTCTTTCTTCTTACAGTGGTGTCTAATTCAGCAAGTGCTCTTAATAGAAATTCCGTTCAAACTTCATTGGGATTGATGGATTTATAAGTGCAAATTTGAAGGTGTACTTAACTGGTAATGGATAGGGAATATTCACTGAATTTGAGCCAGAAGTGTCTTCAGTTGTTTATTTTACGAATGATACAATGGGTTTTAATTTTTACAGGTTTTCATACTTCTTTTATTTCACATCCTCTCCTGACTAGCAACTTTTCAGCTCCTGTTACCTCTTCCGGTTTCTGCTTCCTACTTCTTTCTTTTCAGCATTTTCAAGCTCAAAATTATCTCAAGGTTCTTAACTCCAAATCTCTATTGAGATTTCTCTGAGTAAAGTAGCAGAAGGCAGTTAGAAGCAGCAAACCCAAGTTGTCACTGACATCTTCCTGTCCTTGTTTTTTTAAGTTAAAAAAATGAAAAAGTTATTTGTCACACGTCCTGTAAAGGCATCTGTTTTGGAGCCAGTACCACTGAGGAACAGCAGTTTTTGTTGTGGTTCCTAATGGCTTCTTTGGCTTAAGCTCCCTTTTGTCTCTTTGGACTGAAACACAGGAGCTGGAAAATTGCTCCGTGCTGGAATGAGTGCTGCTGTGCTGGCCAGCTCTGTCTCCCTGTGGCCACGTAGGTGCTGCTGAATGAATTTATATAATTAATTGAAATGTGGGCTTCTTAAAGACTTTCAAGCTGTCTATGGCAGTTATGGGTGTGTGCATGAGTGTACACACATACATGTATACATACCTATGTGTATCTTTTTCTTAAAGATATGGACATTGGTAGTTGGTTACCTCCTCATGGTTTCATTCAAGTGGAATGTCAGCACTGAACGTTACTTAAAAGCAGTCTCTGTTCCTGTCTGGATTATGCTGCTCTTTCACTTAGGTGAGTAACAAGAAGTTACTATTCTGATAACTGAGGGTTCTGTAAACAAAGCTCTTCACTTGCTCTTCTTCTAACTCTGTGAAGTAGAGTCTTAGCTAAAACGCAAACTGTTTTGTCTGCTCTGTAATTCTGGCTGCGTGTGTCCAGAGGGAGCACTGGAATAGGGAATGGGAAGGCATAAAGATGCTCAGCAACATCTTCCACTCCTCATGCCTTTGTACTTCCCATGGTTTCCCCTTATTTGGTTCACAGACAAGGTGAACTTCTTGACAACGAAGAAAGGCTTACATGGGTTACATGAGGTTGGCTTTAGACGTCTATTTGTGATGATATTTTAAGGCTGAAGCTGTAAAATGCATTTAATATAGTAGTAATAAAAGCAAAAAAAAGTCTATCAGTAGTAAACAAGCATATCAGGATGATATCAGCAGTATAAAATACATTTGCCAGTAATCTATGTGATATTACTATAAACTTGTATTTGTATATCTTTTAGACTTATGTTACACATTTAATATAATAGATTATCACCTTATGTTTTCATATCAGAGTTTATGGTGGAAGGATCATGCAATTAATAGAAGACTACCATGACAGAAGGTTTCACAGTGTACCTCATTTACTTTACTCTAGCAGCAGGTTTCAGGGGTTGTTCTGACCATGTGGGGATGCTTCCCTGAGGTTTAAGCTGTATGTAGTGGCTTTGCATTTCCTTAAATTTTGACACTCTTGTGTTTACTGGAAGTAAAGGCTGAATAGGCAAAATCCAAGAAAAGTCCCATTCTGTGGAGAGCTAACATAAATACACATTTTTGGAAGGAACGTGACATTTCTCTGATACGGAAAACGTTTTAATTTTGTGTGTATTTTCATGTGATTTTGAATGTTGTTTTCCAAATAGTTCTCTATATCAACAAAATGTCACTGAAGTTAGGAACAGTAATAACTTGGTTTGTTCATTGAGAAACTCGTTCATCTTTGCTTTCTATTCTTCCTTTTCTTTAATGCAGAATGTTTGTTCTATGACTTCTTTGTTTTTTGGTTGATGTGCTGCCTTTCTTGGTTTTGTTAAATGTAGGGTTTATTAATGGTGTAATCTTTCTTGTTAAAAAAAATCCCAACACTGTATCTTTCAGCTTCTGTGGCAGGTTCCTGGAGAATTCCTGTGTTTCTGGTTATAGTTGTTCTGATGACAGTAGGCATGTTGCATGAACAGCAGAATGGAAAGGAGTCTTCTGGTAAGGAAAAGTCACTTTTTCTTTTATTGTTGGAGGCAAAAATTCACTTAAGTTACATGACATAATCTGGACTGTATCCCCATAAATTCAATAGCATATGGATTGCAAGAATTTACTATAGGATGTTTAGTGTGTTTCAAAGTGGTTTACTCATGCTGGGGTGAATCTTGGATTCTTTACAGAAAATGATTGCCATGGACTGATGTTTCTTTTCCAGAGTAAAGTAGCAACTCTTTATTAAGCCAAATTCCTTGAGTTCATGGATTTCAATATGTAGTTTCAGGCATAAAGAGGTAGCCCAGGACGTTTGAAATCAGAGGCTAATTTTGAAAGAAATGAGCAGTATGGGTTTAGTAGCTCCTATAATACTGAGTAAGAGAGAAACCAAGACAGCTCCATCCAGCAAGTTTCCATTATCCAGTCATTTGTTTTTAAAATAGTTTCTTATAAATATGTTTTGTGTTTAGATTTTGAGAAAAATAGTTTTTTCCTGTTGCAAGTCAGTTTTGAAAAAAGCAAAGGTATCGTATATTCCTGATGAAGGAAACCTGTCTATCTGGCTGTTTTAATTGGTTAGTAAAGTTGATTAACTGGTATAAAAAATTTTTTAATAATCAGACTGCCAGAAACTGTGAATGTCTTGGTTGGTAGCAGTTCATTATCAAGAAAAGCACTAAGCAAATAACTGGTTTTGAAATTTGGCTGAAGGTGTATTGTAATACTAAAAATTAATAGCACTCATTCCTGTCTGATCATATTGACTACCTGTAATATATACTAAACACTAACAGTATCTATCCATATAATTTCTGCTGCCTGATAGCTCCAGTGGATATCTAACACCAAATAAAACGTTTTAAGACTTAAACTTTTTGTTACTTACATACATGTATATATTTTACAGGGGCTGAGCTTCCTGGTCAGATGATTTCCATTGCTGCTTCAACAATTGCCATGGCAATTTCAATGACAGAAGATGAGTCCAATAATGAACATTCCTCCCAACCCTCAGGTGACTGAATACTCTGTAAGAAACATTTGAATTTGCTCTAAAGGCATGAAACTGGAGGGAATTCAGAAAAAAATTCAAAATAGTCCATAACCTCTTCATTTTGTGCAAAATAGTGTCCAAATTGTGAATTTGGTTTATCTGTTCAAAAAAATGTCAAGAAGATGCTAGTATAAAAGCTGTCTAGCAAAGAATAGTTTATTTATGTGGTTGTTGAAGCCCTGACTAGAAGGATTTATTATTGTTTTGTGGGGTTTTTTAGAATGAAGGTGTGATTTTTTTCTTTTTTTCCCTCTTCTTCATTGTTAATTATTTCAATTTTCCTGGCTTTTTGATTTGTTGGCAGTTACATGTTATGTGGCTGGATTTCTGGACCAGGTACACACAGACTGGAGGAATTTTTGTGTACGTTCCAGTGAGAAAAATCCCCACCACTTTAAATATGGCATGCACAAAGTCCTTCCTATAATGTGTTTACTTGACTTTGCAGCTTGATTCACGTAATACTTTCCCTTGAAATAATACAATTGGCTTAAACGAGTTCAGACAAAGTGTTTAGATATCCATCACTGATTTTAAACTTTACCGTCTTTTTTTTTTTGGGTAGGTCTTTGATGAAATGTGATACTAAAAAGTTAAGCAATTAGTGAGATATCTGGAAATCGAGAAGTTTCATCCATTTTCTGAAAATCTAACCAAACAGATTATTCAACGTAACAGAATGTGAGCTTCCAAAACCTAATTTTCAAATCTAAAAATTACAGCTTTAGACAAGTTACTCTTAGCTTTTTTTCTGCATTTTACATGACTATCGTCAATATGAACATAGAAGTCTATGGAACTATGTCCTGAAATTGGAGATCAGAGCATTGTGGTGACAGTTCTCCTGTATTTCTGTGTCTAATCTTTAATTTTGGAAATGGGAATTTTTTTTAGCTGAATTTTGAAATCTGAAAAAGTAACAGATGCCCACAAATGGGCTATGTAAGTGGTTGTGTTCTTTTGTTGCTATTTTTTTAACTTACCAGTACTTATTTTTTTACTTTTAAGACAGTTTTCTTTCTGTTTTCAAGAAGAGATAGCTACAGCAATTGTTCAAAGGTGTATTTTATATCTTTTCTATTTTTTTGACTTTTCTTTTTCTTTTTCTTTTCAGCTAACCAGATGAGGGTTTGTCTTGTGAATTCTGTTGTTTTCCTTCACAGCAGGAAAAAAAAAAAAAAAAGAGTTTTCTTTTAACTCCTAACAACACTTAAAATAATTTTCCAACAGTCTGGTAAAAATTAGTATTCTCTTCTGCAATATATTAAGCATAATTTTGGCCATCTTTATTTTGGTTTGGATCTTTTGTGAATGGTGATGAAACATTATTCTTGACAGCAGAAAGTTTTACCTACAGGCTTAAGAACTTTCGTCTGTTTTGGTTTTCCTGACACTGTATTGAATCCATTGCAGAGCAACAAGGCTAAAAATTGTTTATTAAAAGACCATGAAGGGGGTATGAGCTTTGTTGACTCTATATTTTTTTCTGAACATTTATGTTTTTCCTTATTTTATTATTGAATACCGGTATTTAGCACTGGTGGCAAGAAGTTTAATGTTGCCAGTTCATGTGGTCTAAGTGGGCCTTCCTGGTCTTCTAAGAGTTTCCAGTGTATACAGCAAATAAATCTGCAATTTCTGAAGCAGATACCACTGCAGTACTTTGTAGACAAGATTCTGTTGTCTTGTTGACTTTAAATATGATAGACACTAAAATCCTTAAATGAAGTCATGACTCTCAGGTTCCCTTTTGCCCTCACTTTGTTTTCTTAGAAAAAAGCATAAGAAATGTTTTTCACATGAAATTACAGAAAGACGCGGTTCTTTATGAAGGAGTACCTTCATCCTGATTTTCTGAGGACTTATTCATTAATAACAATAAAAAAAAAATACTGTTTTCCAAACTTATGCCCTGCATAGAGATACAGACACCTGCCTTTTTGTTTGTTACTGTTTCTTTGTCTTCTCCCTGGGGAGGAGAATAATTCAAAATTCTGTGACAGCACGAAATTGATAAATTGATGTGACAGAGAACATACTGTGTAATGAAAAGAACAGATCTTAATAAGACAGGCTGGAAAATTTGCTCTATTTTTTTGTTGTTCAAAGAAGTACCATTCAGTCTGATTTTGCTGGAATTTTTTCCTGAGTATTGTGGTAGCAGTTTAGACTGTCACACTTTTATTAGTTGGAAGATAGAAAGGTGTTTTTCAGGTTTTATTTCTCAAAATATCATGAAGCACACTAAATGGGATTTTCAAAAACTGAAGGTACTCAAAGTCACTGTACTGACAGTTCTTTTTTTTCTGTTTGTGTTGACAAGGCACTCATTCCTTGGTTTTCAGAGCATATCTTGCCAGCAGAAGGTGACTTTTTTCACTGGCAATTTTCTGGATTCTTTTCTTCTCTGGGTGGATCAGCTTTGTGAACTGGTTTATGAGAGTCATCTAAGTGGCCATTCTGATGCAGGCCTGTGTTTGTCATGAGGAAAATACTTGGTAGTGATAATTTAGTTTTGCTAAAAGTTAGTTTGCTAAAATTTAGTTTTGCTAAAAGTGCTGGAGAGCTGCATTCTGAAAAAGCTTTCTTGTGTTAGGATCCCCTAGGAGTTTTTCCTTTTTTTATCCTTTTTCTCCCTTTTTTTCCTCTTTTTTTTCCTTTTTTTTTCCTCCTTTTTTACCCGCCCATCTCTTTTGCCATCTGTTTTGTGTTCTGTGTACAGTCTGCATACAGAGATACTGTAAGACATAAGGCTGTTTAATTCTTACTGCTTTTAACATTACTGTTGCTGTTATTTAATGAAATCTTTCTTCATTGCAAAAATATGTCAATCAAATTTTTCATTACTAAAAGAAGGAATGCTCTTTTTTATTTCCTAAAGGTGACTCTACTAAGGAGTTTTTGGGCAAAAAATGTTGTATAACTTTAGTCTTAGGCATAGACTTAAGCTAATTACTCTCTTTTGGCTTTTAGTGCTTCCTTTTGTTTAATAAATATTTGAGTTTCTGCTTGTTCTATTATTACTCCTTATGTTGATTATATTAATTTTGGAGCAAAACAGTAAGAATTGTTGAATAAATTTAAGGGGAAAATTATTATGGGTTTACTGCTTTCAAGTTTGTATTCCTTTAGTGCATCCATTTGTTTCTGTTAGTACTCTTCTGCTTTATTACGTATGGACGAGAAGTACAGGGGAATCATAGACCCTCTTCTATATGACAGAAATACTTTTTCTTTTAGGAAAATATCTATTTACAGATAACTTTTTCTCTCCCCTTACAAAAAATTGTTTATAGTTTGTTTAGTAGGGCTGGCCATCATCTCATTGAGGTACACACTGAATTGCTAAGAGCCTCCCCACCTGAAACTTCTGCTGTGCTTAGCTGCTTGCAGAATTCCTTATTTCAGGTTGCATGCTGTAATTCCTTCGTGAATATTCTGACATTCCACCAAATACATGACCAGAATCCAGCTGATGCTTCTGTCATCATCCCAGTGTCAATCCCAGCTGAGTGAATCAGTTGATTTACACTGTTCTCTTGGTGTGGTGGGGGATGTTCATAAGTTTTCATAAGGTGTACAAGTAGTTCCACTTACCTGTAGAACACTGGTGCAGGTTTCTGCAGCAAAGGAGAAGTGTTCATCTGCTGTGTGAGGATGCAGTTTGTCATTTACTGCTACTGTTTGACAAATGAGTCTTGCCTTTTTGAACGTTTTAGCTCCGTGCTTTAGGTTAGAAATGGCTTCAGTGACACAGTGCAGCTAAAAATGCGTGTGTTGAACACGAGTTGTCTGCTGTGAATGTAGTATTTTGTAGTACAGTTTTTATGCAGTTTTTCTTCATGGGAGAAGATGTGTCTGTGGCACAGAGTTGTGTTCATCATTTACCAGCCGTGTGGTATGTACCAGCATGTTAAATTGCCTTTTATGCTTCAGGTTTTCCTGTGTGTACTTTCCTCCACTATGGCTGCAGTCTTTTCTTAAGTAGTGATGTGTGGGAAATGTGTGCATTTCGACAGCAGCAGGTGACAAGAGCCTCAGTAAAAGTTAATACTGGTGTTCTCAGGGAGAAATTTTACATAGAGTGACTGAAGGTAGATTTGCTGTCATCCAGCAGCTGAGAGATGAAATAAATAAATTGCCATGTTCTGCATCCAAGAATTTTAATTTGAACATGATATTTTTGCATGAAAAGACTATTGTTTTTGTATAGGGTCTTTACATTTTTGAATTGAATTTCTTGTTTGCTAACTTAGGAGTGAGAGACTGACAAAATTTGATATCCACTAACTTATGCTTGATGTTACTAATATTAACACAGAGCAAGGAATTTAGGATGACAGTGTGAGTGCTGCTATGTTTGTGTTGTGAGTGATCTGGAAAAGTAGTAGTGAGACAGCGGTAAGATAAAAGCTTTCTCTTCAGTGTATACTATATCTTTTTCTCTGTTTAAATGAGTTTGGAGCAAATCTAAGATTCCTTTTTGAGTACTTGAAGTAAATGAAGTGGAAGATTTATTTTAAGACTTCACATTTCCTCTAGAAGTTAACTATATTTTGTGTTTTTCATGGTTTTATGGTTCTTTGATAAAACATATTTGGCTTGTAGTTTACCTGCAGTGACAGGAGCCCTCCTAGAGGCTATAGCAACTTTTCATCTCTCCTCCTCTCAACACTGCTTGGCATGGTGATACAGAATGTGGGAGAGTTTACACAGCCTTGTTCTAGCTTTTCAAAATATAGAACAGTTCCAAGGCTGTCTCAGTCTTTTAGAGAAATTAAAAGCATAAAAACAACCCCAAAACAAACAACAAAAACACAGCCTTCTGCTGCTGTCCCTTCCTTCACCTCCGCCTTCCAAAAAAATGAGGTAATTTGGGAATAGGGAACATACTCTATTTGGTGGTGAATATTAATGTGATAATTTCCACTTCTTTGTTCGCATGTGTTTGTTTTAGGAGCAACAGCAGAAGGTGATCAGCCTCCACCTCCTCGAGCTTCATCATCTTTCAGCACCTCCTCTTCATCATCTGGGAACAGACAAAGACCTGAGATTGGATCTTTTCTTAGAAAAAAGAAAACTAGTGACATTTACTTTGTTACTCTTGTGTGGGCCATTGTCATTGTTCAGATCTGGCTAAATTTTTGGATTGTGCAGCTATTGCCAGTGCCTTTTGCAGGTAATAATCCAATTACTAGAAATGTTTGGCATCATGTTAAATAAAATACGAGAAAAGGATTGTAGGCTTGTATGAGTTTTAAATAAAAACTTTTTCAAGACTTGTTAAGACAAGATGAATTGTGCTTCATAAAGGAGGATTGATGTGCAATGTCTGTTACCATATAGTGGACAGCTCTGTTAAATTATTTTGTCCATTGACTATTGTAGTTACCTGAAATAATGTAGTGCCATACCTTACATAGTAAGAATACTTCTGGTTTAGACCAGCTAGTTTTTCTTCCTCCAGATGTCAATTCTTTCATATTTTTGCACCTATAAATGAAGAATATTTTAGCTGTTGTTCAGTAGTGAAGTAGAGCTCTCGTTAACTTTTAATTTCTGTAAAAAATGGGTTGCTAGGCACTGTAGAGAAGTCACAAGTTAAATTTGTTTCTAATTTTAGCCTCTGGGGTTAATTAGCTTTGTTGTGTCACATCTACATGCATCTGTTCTCCTATATATCAGGCAAGAATTGGAGTAGTTATGATGGCCATCAAAAATATTATTTTCAAACTAGATGCCACTTTTTCCTCTATTCTTCTGGGGGAGTGAAAAGGGAAGATAGGAACTGTAGGAGTATGTGTGACCTACTATGAATTGGAAGGCATTTCTTTCCATCCCCCTACTGTAAAAAAAGCAAGTTTTCTAGTTTGCTTGGATTTTCTCTAAACTTCAGTTAAAATGCTAATTTTTAGCATTTTAAAATGCATTTAACTCTTGAATGTAGCTATTTTCTTTTTTTATGGAGTGTGGTGGGTTGACCTCAGCTAGTGGCCAAATACCCTCAAAACTCATCATTCTTGCAGTGTTTGAATGTGGGTTTATCCATGAGCTGCATTCCCTTTAGGGAGGTACAGGCAGGATTTTCCTTGTCCCTAGGTCGCAGTCCCTTCCAGAGGTGTACCTGCTCCAGCATGGACCCCCTGTAGGCCGTGGTCCCTCTCAGTGGTGTCTGCTCCACTGCGGAGCACTTCTGCTTCCCTGGCCTTTCCATTACCTCTCTTCATCCCTCTGTTCCTTTTTCCTCTCCTCACTTTTTCTGGGTTCCTCCCTCTTCTCCCTGCCCAGGGGTTTCTGCGGTTCCTCAGATACATTTCCCTTAAAGGACCACACCCGTGCCTGATGGGCTCAGCTTTGCCCAGTGATGGAGCCACCTGAGCTGTGTCTGGCACAAGGCAAGCCCTGGTCTCTTCCCATGGAGGCCACACCAGAGGCCACCCTGCTACCAAAGCCTTGAGATCTGTGCATGGTACACAAAGCTACTGTAAACCATCTGGAAATTGTGACTTGGGGTCACACTTGGAGATTTGAAGGGCTGTGAACTCCGAGGCATGGAGAAAGGAACAGCTGCACCTTTGGCTGTGGTGCTGTAGCACAGCTAAAGGGTAGTGTGATGGCAAGACATATAAATAGCTGAATGCAGGGTAAGAGCAGAGAGGGGTTTGACCTTTGTTTCGTTCCAGTACACTTACTACAGAAGGAACTTCCCAGTTCTGGTGCCTGGGTGTCATGGGAGATGGCAGTCACAAGTGAAAAAGGAATTAGAAAATAAATGTTAGACTTATTAGAAGCAGATCTTGTGACTAGTTGACTGAAAAGTCAAGGAGTAACTTAACCACTGTTCAGAAACACCTATGTGTAAGGAAAAAGGGAAGCAGCAGTTCTGCAGTTCAGCAGACAGCAGAGCACAGTTTTGAGCTTAAGCCACGCAAGTCTAGATTAAAGTGCACGTCTATAAATGAAACAGATGAATACTGCTCCTGACAGTCATTAGGTCTAAAATAACTAGCCAAACAATAAACTCATGTCAAAAGAGAAATTACTTTTGGGAATATTTTTGACCTGTTGCCTTAGCAGTGACACTGGACCATGAAGTGCTTTGTCATGGCATATAACTGAATCATCAGAAAAATATTGCACATGGGCAGTATAATGATGAACAGAGCCAAATTTAGAACAGTGGATTACATTAAATGTCAGAATGTGACATGGCTAAAAGAGGTAACAATAAAAATATTAGGAAAATAGGAAGACTAATAAGGCAAGTTTCCCTGCAATGGTTCAAGTTTAAAGACATTAATAATAACTTGAGGCACTTCTGAGACCTTAAAGAGGATGCTTCTAGTATGTAAAAAAACAAACAAAAGAACCCATAAACCAAAACAAACTCCACAAAACCTTAAATAGAAAGATGTTAATTTCACTAAAGCTCCTTATATTGGTAAAGAGGACTCGTAAAAAGCAGCATTTAGATTATTAGAAACATCTTGGTGCCATTAACGTTTTTCCTTGAATGCGTTTGTACTTCACTTGGAATGAAATGGTCTTTTAAAATTGCTTAGTGTAGAGGGTGGGAAAATGATACCATAATTATACCATAAAATGAAAAGGTGAATGAACTGCTGTGATTTAAAAAGCTAAGCAATGAACTATGTTGTGGAACACTTGCAGCATTTTGTTCCGTGAGTTGAGCTTGGAGATCCTGGTATTGTCTCTCTTTTAAGATCTTTCATGTGCTTCCTTGCTGTTCTGTTGTATCCTTTTTTTCTTTTTGAATTGTCTTCAGGTAATTTTCTGCTTCCTGCAGATGTTTGAAACTTGTTATTATGCAGGCTTTTTCTGGTTTTGCTCAATGATTTCTAATAACAGTTCTTTAGCTTTTCCTCTCTTGTCTCGTTTTAACTTAATATAATTACAGCTGTTTGATTGACTGTAGCACCTCCTTTGCACTGAGTGTACAGTCATTTATTTTAGAAGATACTGTGTAAACACTTATTCTTAAATAATAGTGGAATATTAGAATGCCATTTGAGGTATGTTTTTCACCTTATAAAATGCAAGCCTTCCTGACTTTGCTGAGCAGCAGTTTGTGTTGTTACCGTGAGCTTCATTTCATCGTACAAAACTTAAAGGCTGAACTTCAGTGCTGGAACTCGCACTATATTTGCTCCTTTTTTGTATGTTTGCCACTCATTTTCTTAGAGAAATTATTGGATTAGTCTGTTTCTTCAAGAGCATAAATCCCGTATTTACCACATGGTGGTGCCAGAGGCTAAGTGAACTAAACGTTAGCAAATTGTTGCACTGGCTCTCTGGAACAAGAACATAAACTATTACCCGTGTGACTTGTAGAGAATAGGCTCTTGTGGAATCTGGATAAATGCCCTGTAGGCAGTAAAAGTTAACTTTTTTGGCTGTGTATGCCATTTTACATGTCTCCAAGTAGAAACGTGACGTGAATTTTTGATTATGAAGTGGTGTACTCTCAGCTGTTGTGGAGTTCGTGTATGGCAGTAAGTAATGAATCTGGTTTGAAGAATAGTCACAATCAAAAAAAAAAAAAAAGAGATTTATTGAAAGTAAAGTTACATGTAGTGGTAGCAAGTTCATATCCCGTGTTGCCAAGTGAAAAATGCTAATCTCAAATGGCTTTTTTAACGTTTAAAAGCAAAATCTGTCAGTAATATTTAAAAAGAAGATTTAAATGGATCCTTCTTTACTATGAAATTCCACATGATGTTTTGCAGTTCTTGAAGGAAATAATACATTTTAACAACTCATAAGGCCTAAAACTCAAGAATTTAGGCTGAAAATTTTCTTATATGTGTAAAGTGCTGTTAAGTTCTGATTATGGTACTTAACGTGGAGTCATTTGGCATGGTGTGTGCATCTGTGAATATGTAAGAAATCCACTGTACTGGAATCATGGAGTGGCACCTTCTTATCCCAGGCCTTGCTTAAGTCTGTTAGCTGCATTATTGGGTAGTTTGCAGTCACTTTTCTTGTGCTGTCATCTAAGTTCCATGTGGATAAGCTCAGCTGCAAAGTCAGTGAGGAGATTAGTTCTAAAAATACTGGACAATTCCAGAGGTTTTTAATGGGAAATAAAACTCAAGAGTCTTTTCCTTTCTGTTTCATTGGTCTTCTAGAATAGAATAAGGCAGATAAGTAGTCTTGTGGTGCTCCTCTGAAATCTCTGATACTTAATTTCCTTCTTGTGGTTACAGTTTGGGCACTTAAAAAATTCGTGGTTCATTTTGGAGTTTTGAACTTCATGGCAAACCACTGCAAAAGTTGGTGGCAACTCATTGAAAATTTTGTGAAAGAACGTCAAGAAGCTCTTGCTCCACGGCCCATCAGAGGACTTGGAAGTGTTATGCTAAAGCTTGACAGTAAGGTATTTCTACTTACTTCCTTAAGCAACTTGAAAGTTTGTTTTACTCTCTGTTCACCATATTCTGAGATGGTTTAGTTCCAAAATAAACGTCTGTCACTAATGGATATGTCTTTCATGTAAAACTGTATCTGTTTTATGGTGTATTTTAAATTATGTCTCTTCTATCACTATTCACACTTAAGTGCACATTTAAATTTGTTAAATGGTTGCGTGCAAACCTTGACAGAAGTCACTTTTAAAATATAAAATATAATAAAATATAAAATTCCTCATCTGAGTAAGGCAAAGTTCTCATGGTTTAATCACCTCACCTGGTTAAAAAGATTTTGAATTTAAACTTAATGAGCTTTAGTGTGAAGGATAAGATATTCCTACTTCTTATGTGAAGATTTTATTAGAAAGCAGACCATCGTATTTGGTAAGTAGGGCCCAAGATAGTTCAGACATTTTTGTCTATACTATGTGGAAGCAAAAGTAGTTGCACACAGTAGTATGGTGGTAGAGAAATGAGTCTTCCCTCTGTAAGTGAAGAAATATGTGGGATAAAGTATTTAGGAAATGCCATAGAATAAGGCTTCTATGTTCCCCTCCCTTCTTCCCCATGCAAAATATGCCTACATTTGCATTGCAAATTGTTGAGTTGGAAAGCTCCAGAAAATTCATAGGGTTTCTTTCATTAAAAATTGTAAGTTTTCATGTAAACAGGTAGATTATTTTGTTTGTAATAGCTATGGCACTGTGTAAGTATCTGCTTTCTGTAACTGTGTTGTTGAAGTATTCTCTGTTCTGGAAAAAGCATCTTAGGACTTCTATAACTGAAGAGAGGAACCCTGTAAGTACGTTTGTCAGAGCATCTGTACCTTGGCAGATTGGTCTTGCAGTTGGTAGCTCTGAATTCCTACAGGAGAGGGAGGAGCTTAAGCCTGGATCTAATGGGTGAATGGATGACAAAAGGTCAACAAAAACATTAAAATGGCTCTAGGAGAAAAGTAGTAATTTCATAGAGTTCATTGTGGAAGAATTTGAAAAAGAAAAAGCCTTTCAAAATACAGCTATAAACAAATCGTTTTCCAAAGCTAATGAAAATTGCTAACATGGGATAAAAGCTTATGTTATACAAAGCTTTTCATAAAAAATATTTTTGTTCTGTAAGTAAAAAGACTCACTAGACACAATGTTGAATGTGTAGTTGTTTCATGAGTTGCCAAGTTTGGTATCCTTGCTTTGCATAATTGTATGATACAGTATCCTTCCTAATTCCAGCAAGTCTTTTTCTCCTTAAAGAAGGTAGGGCTTTAATGTGCAGCAGAACCTCTCCCTCTTCATCTTAAATGTACTTAAGGTCAGTTTATTTACATGTTGTTTTTGTCTAACCAGAACAACAGTGTTGGCCAACTCATTTCCCCATCTCTTTTCACCCCTCCATTTTTTAGATGACAGCTGTATTCCTCCTGAGTCTGTGCTCTGTGTATTAAAGCAGTCTAAGCTTTCCCAGACATTACAAGAAGGGCCCGTGATAATCTGCATGATTCTGTTGTCCTCATTTATGCCTATTCTAATTCTGTTTCAGTCAGCATTTATCATGAGTGGCTGGGATTGTATGTAGTTTTCCAATGCTTATCACACTAATGCTTCATATCTTCTAAGTTCTACTGGCTGTACTTATTCTGTGTATTGTAGGATGATGGATGCATGGTATCTCAGAATTTGGGAAGCCATGCCACAGACTATTGGCAGTTACATTTTTTGTAGGGACAGGGAAAAAAGGGGATTGAAAATTACATCCTTGCAAGATTTTTGAAGTTGGATTACCAAATGTTTTGGCTTCAGTAGGCACTGTTGAAGAGAAAAAAAATATTTTGTTATGCAAACACAGAATAGAAATGTGGGGGATAAATTCTTACAGCTTACCTTTTATGGGTGAGTGTGAGAAACCAAGACCGAGGAATAATTTCCTTTGCAATTAGAAATTTAACCTTTAATTTTTTTTAGCTTATTTTCATGGGAGCTGGATCTGCTTAGGGTTTTTGTTTGGTTTGTCTTTTTGTTGGTATGCTAAGTTAATTGGAAACTGAATCTTAACATCAGGATGTATTGAGACTCTTAGCTAAGTACAACAAGCCATTGACAAAGTCCGTTTCATGCAAATACTTAGTGATGCTACCTGGGCTGGCAAGGATATAGTAATATAGTTCCAGATTTGAGTGAAGTGTAGTAAGAATGAGGAACGTATCTTAGAATGGCACGTCTTTTTCCCAAAGAAATTTTAGGAGTCTATTTTACATAGGATGGAAAATAACCCATTGTGAGAAATGGGTGAGTACTGCTCATGCATGCAAATCTGAGTTTTACTGATTATATCTGTTTTTAAACAAAACCATCAGGAAAATAATTGTTTCTCTTTCATAATTCTCATTTACCTCTGGTTCTCCTGGAAGAGCAGAAACATTTGAAATGAAGAGAAACTCTGGTCAAGAGAAAAGAAAGGACATTGTATTTTATTGTTTTAATAAACAGTAGGTCAGTCTCTGAATGTGTCTCCTACAAATATGGACTATGAAAATAGGATGTCGTTCCTGTATTCTTTAGTCCGTGGCTGTGCATTTGCCTCATGGAGAGTCAGCAGACAGCTGTTGGCAGCAATATCTGAGATGTGAGAGACTTTCTGGAGGAGAGAGGAGGGGAGTTTCTGTTGTCAGCCACTGAACCATCCTAAACTTAATAGATAGAGTATCAGGTGTGTTCTTAACAACAAGAGAATTAATAATTTCCTTTACTGATTTTTTTTATTTTAAAGGAGACAATTGTCTTAGAATATGATGACTACAGTTTGATTATAGAATTTGTGAGGGAGTTTAGCAGTATTGGCAGTGACTCAACTGTATGCACTAGACTTTAACTCGTTGCAATGTTCTAATATTTTACATGCATGCTTTTATGTTGTACTTGAGTGAATCAGGTAGTTGTTAAATGCTTTTCCTAGGTGTAGTGTACTGGAATTTTATATGTGGATTGTTTAGGTTGTTTGGATTTTGGATAAAATCAATTTCTATTTCTTCTGGTGCCAAGTTCGGCACATAGTTGAAACAAGCAGAAAAGAAGCAGAATCTTTGCCAGTACTTATATCATTATAGAAAATACGTTCACAGGCGTGTAAGATCTTAGATGAATAGTTTTCCAATACTGGAAAAGTGGCTATAGACTTACTAATTTTGGATGACTTGAAGATTTGAATTAAACTGTAGCCTGTTTTCAAATGTAGGTTTGTAGAACTACTTAAACATCAGTATTGTTAAGGTAGTAGGCAGGTGGAGCCTCCCAGGTATTGTCTTAAACATTAATAAAAAATATTGTTATTTTGGACATATAATTTTATTTCCTAATTACTGTATTTATCATCCAGTTCCCTGAGGCTGAAATTATAGAAAAATACCAAAGACTTCCTTTCACATTCTCCTTAAATCTTAGGGCTCTTTTGTATTATTTTGTATGGAATTGCAAAGTGGAGCGACACAGCCATGAGATCTATGTTTTTTCCAAAACATACGCATAGTAGGTTTTAAAATGCAGAAATAAAGTTAAAAGCATGTCATTGAATCAGAAAACAGCTTTCCCTTTTTTACAGACAAATTATTCCATTGGTGAAGAGGTAAAGTAGAAGCAAATTCTATAGTGTCAGTTTGAGGCTTTTGAAGCTTTCTAATTGATTTCTCTGACTCTTTCCACGAGTAGCAAAAGCTAGTAAACGTGGGTTCTTTATTTTCATGTTTCCTAATGTTCATGTTTCTTTGTAAATCTGCTTCTAACTTAACATTATGAGATTTTTATGAATTTGGAATATTCTTACCTTTTGTTTCTGTTGGGAGCTAATGTAATTTCTGGCAACTGGTGAACATGCTAGATTTACTGAGAATTCAGTGGTCTTGTTTTCAGGGAGAAACAAGCTTCACTTACGTGATCTGAATCTGTAATGCAGATGAATAACAATGTTAAAGCTCTTCACTGTTGTGATTATGCTACTAATTGATTAGTAATGGTTAGAATTAAGAATATAGTCCTACATAAACTGGGTCCTGAAATGGGTATATTTTAGCATCTTGGTGAGCATCAGTAAACAAAAATAATTGTAGTTTAAAAGGAGAAATTGACTGTTGAGAAGTGCAAGGAGAATTATATGAAATTTGTACATTTATATGATCTACAATTTGCTGTTGTGTGTATATCAGACTTAATTATGATTATGGTTAATTATCATTAATAATGATTATGCCGTTGAATATGAATGCTTTAATATGAATATGGTACCAAAAAAAAAAGAAATCTGTTCAAGAGTAATTGGCACAATAGGAGTGTTGTGAAACACGTAGAATGGGAGTATTTGAATGCCTGAATGGGAGTGTTAATGACATCAGTGAATACCTCATGTTAAGATTTGGTGTCTTGCTGAAACGCGCTTCTCGGAGTCCTGCTCTGCCATCTGATAGTAGCTCTCCGTATAATTAAACTGGAATTTCCCAGATTGTTCTGATAGCTCTGTTAATGCCATTAAAGTTGTTCGTATTTTGTTCTATCCCTCTTTGTTTCAAAAATGCATGTTAATAGTAAAACCCAGGTTCTTGCATTAGAATTTGTTATGATCTTTTCTTCCTATTGCAATTTACCTTTGTGTCTAGAACAATTTCATTTTCATTCTGTGGATGACTTTGCCTGCCTCTCATTGCTTTTTTTCCCTATTACTGCATTTTTCAATAATTTTCCACTGTGTTGTGTTTTTTTCCCTTTTCTTCCATCTCCGCCTGCCACTGACAAGCTGTGGCACTGGCTTAATAAGAAGGTAAATAAACAGAAAAATTGTGATTCCAAGTAATGAATTCTGTGGTTTTGGGGAGGTTTTTTTTTTTTTTAATTTTTTTTTTTTAATTTTGCAGCATGAACACTCCTTAACATGCCTTGCTTCATATAGATTTCTCTCTCAAATGCCTCTTTTCCAGCTCTTGGTATAAGCTACTGAAGGTCATATAATTCTGTCTGATCTCTTCTATTCTGGTGAATGCACATAGTTAAATGTTTAGCACAGCAGAATATTGCATTAATTTATCAAGGAGTAGAGTAATTTAGGGGCACTTTTATTTAAGAATAGTTGATCTCCACCTGGCCCCCACTTGTGCACCTAACAAAACGAGTTCTCTCCCAGTGTGGAGAGCTGTTCTTTGCTCAGAGAAAGCATCAGTTAACTGAATTACCAGTGGAGTGGTGAGGATGTGAAGCACAGTTAAAAAGCTGTAAGTGCTTGCAAAAAGTGCATGGACTGGTTTCACTGAGTGCTGTCAATCTTTTACTTTTGAAGTGCCAAAGTTGCCTGTTGACATAGGCATGGTATGTAGTGTACCAGGAGCAAATACATACAAAACGAGACTTTGCATGGCCTCAGAACTGCTGAATCTTAATAAGTCTGAAGGGAAGAAAAAAGCTGGTTAAAAAAAATTAAAAATTAAGTAGTTGGTATAGCTGAAATATTTTTTCCTATTATGTGGCTTTTAAAAGTGTGTGATATGTTTTCATAATTTAGTTATAATTGTCCATGACAAGGGGCATTTTTAATGTTCTTTTGCCCTTGACTGTATTTCTCCAGTTTTAAAATTACATTTTTATTTCCCAACTTTGAAATGTTTATCTTATATGAGTGACTTGTGATTAGTAAATATGTACAACCTTAACCTGTCGTAAATTTAGTTTATTACATACTGGTTTGTTGGCAGAGTTCAGGTGAAGAGCTGAGTTTGGTAAGCCACAAGAGGAAGTGTAGTCTCAACTGCTTTTTTTCTAAGTATTTGTCATTTTCGTTGAAAATTCATGAGTAGATACGGTTTTTTTCCTTAATGGTAGTAGGTTGCAAAACCAACTCAATTGTAATAGCTTTTAAATGCTAAAATTTGGATTTTATTTTTAGTTTAGAAACTTGGTTATTAGGCAAAACCCTGTGGATATAGTTTCTTAACAGTGTTGTTTTTTAGTTCCTTGGAGTTATCTTGGAAAACTGTTAGTTTACTTTTCAGTTTCATAAGTAGAAATCCTGAAAGTCCTGTAGTATTAGATAACATTGCCTTCTGTTTATGAACATACAATAATAATATTATAATCAAGATTTTTTTAAAAAAGTGAAAAAAGTGCAACCAATGGGTTCATTTTGTTGTATGTAGTGTTTTGGTGATTTTTTTTTTTTTTTTAATTAAAAACAAAAGGTCACATTTTACCAGAGGCAAAAAAAAGGATGGGATTTGTACTAAAGACCACTGGTTGCAGTTAAAAGGGGTTTCCTTTTGTGCCTTCTCCTTTTTGCACATCTTTGAAGGGAAGTACTTTAGAGACCATAAAGATAAATTTCTGGTAATCCAGCAGGAAATTAAGAATCATATGGATATGGCAGAGTTTGAAATGATGGTTGATTATGAGTGCTAGTGATAAACCTTGGCTTTTTGATTCATGTTCATGGTATATATAGCCCAGAATATAGAATAGATACAGTCAGTCTGGCATAATTTTTTCTTAATAATATTGTCTATGTCAGGACTCTGTAGAAGGAATTGCTTAATTCTTCTGCTGCTTTTGGAGGGATACTGGTGTAGGTAGACTTGAGACCTCACACAGACTGTTCTCTACCTTTTCTAGCTTAACTACTCAGCTGACTCATTTCAACAAAACCTTGGGATGTGTTGTGGTTACAGACTTCTCCTTATTCTCTGCAGATGATATTAATGGGATTATATCTTCAAATATTAACTAACTAAAGGGAAATGAGAAGTTTAAGGAACGTCTCGGAAAAAAATTCTCATAAATAGCAGAGCTGTTTACAGAAAAATAAAAGCCCCTGTTGGTAATTTTATGGAGATTTATTCAAAAATGAAGTAGATGCCTTAGTGTGCTTCAGTGTTTGGGTAATGTAGTAAATTAAACATAGTAGAAAAACTACTACTTTGAAGGCTAGACAGTATGAAACCTGCAAATATTAATTCATAGATGATGTATCATACTGCATAACATGGAGAACCTGACTAGATAGTAGGATTTCTGATTTTTAAGTATGGATTGTAGTTCTGTTACAGCTTAAAATACAATATCCAGCATCCAAAAGTTGAAAGAGGGAGTACTTGCAAATTATTGAGGAGCTTCCTAATAGAATGTAACTCAATCATAAAAAACCTTTTTACTGTGAGCTAAATTAAAATAAAAACCTTGATAACATTTCTTTTCAAAACTGTGACAGTTAAAGATCGATTTTTAAGGACAGTCTATCACAAATCGGTAACATTTCAGTTTGGTTTTACAAGTGTGACCTTCTGTAGCTTAGGAGCCTGGCTTTCATTTACCTTCGCATAATCTCGGATGTTGTGGCAGTCTCAGCTTTCTGCTGTTGACTAACCTTTAGATTTGGAGCTTGGAACCGAATATAAAACTTCATGGCCTCTGGTTAATGAGTGTGTTTAGTCAGTACATGTTTGTCTCTGTGTGCATGCCCATGGTTTACAGGAGCGGTGTAAGGGAGGTCTGGCAGGGTTGGGGTAGGAGTGAAGTCTCACCTGATTCGGTGATAAGTAAACCACACAGGCATTTAACAGTGCAGCCTCCCTGCAGTGAGTAGCTTACCTGCACCTATGCATTATTTAACACAAGTATGAAAGGGTGAGGGATTGCTAAGGAAGTGTTGTGGGTTAATGTAGGAGAAGGAAGTATGTTTTAATAGAAGGAATAAAAGAGTAAATATAGCCTTAAGTGAATGTTGTTCATCTGCTTTTACTTGTACGATACTCAGTCCAATTCAGTCTTCTTCTGTGATATGTCTGTTCCATTTATATAATTTGGATCCCCTTAAGTCTGTGTTGAAAGATGTAATTGCAATACCTGTAGGCTTGCCAAAGCTGGCTTTCATCAGGCTTCCTTGGGCTACCTGCCCAAGTAAATAGAGACAAGGTGGGCTTGCATGGCTGAGGCTGTTGCTGGTACCAGTACATCATCAGTGCTGCCATGACTTTACTAACTAGATTAAAGGTAATCCGGGATTTGCATATGCTGCAGCTGCACCTTAATGGCAGTCCAGGCATATTTGAACCCTCAGTATGAATGTCCAGGAAAAATACCTTGTCTGTCTTGTGCCATCTCGGAGAGAATCCTCATCCTGGTCTTTTGGAACTGGACCTTCCAGTAGTTGCTACATAGCAAAACATGTAAAGCATTCAGCCTCACCTCCACTGAGTATTCATCTATTGGATACCCCTCACACAATCATTGAGCCTAGCATTTTTTGAAATCTCTGACAGTACTCCAATTACAAGGATTCAGTGAATCTGATTAAGGTTCTATATATAAGACTACTGGATTTCTTTTAACTCTGACTTAGAAAGTAAATAGCAGTTTGAACTTCATCTAAAATGACAAGGGCAGCTTTAATTTTTAATTGCTTCATTTTGAAGTCCATGCTATAAAATTTTCTTCCCATGCCTATCCAGTGGTGTTTTCTTGATGATATTTTTTATTTTTGTCCTTTAAAACAATGACTTTCATTTCTTGCTTCTCTTGCATAATCATTAGATGTACATGAAACTTGGAAGGACACAGCAAATCCCTTATTTCCAAAGAGGCAACCCCTATATATATATGCCATATATATGCCCTATGTAGGGGCTACATAGTTTTTCAGAGAGCTGCAGTACTGTTGCAGGCAGGTCACCCCCCCTCCAGCACTGGCAATGCATTTCTGATGGCTGAGATATTTTAGCAAGCTGAAAATCAAACTTAGGTTAAAAATACCCGAGACAAAAGATTTTCATACTCCCTCATGTTTTCTGAGTTTCTTTCTGCAGTCCTTAATGTGGTGCAGACTTTGTTACAAGAACTTGTGTTAATTTAGCTCAAACAAGGACCTGGTTGTAAAAACTCGAAGTTTAAAATAATTACTTGATGTACATAAACTGCTCAGCTGCTACCGGATGAACACACACAAAAAAAATCTTTACTTTTTTCAAACAGGAGATCTAACTTCAGTGTTGACCAATTCAATCTTCACACAGCAGTCTGAGAAGTTCATTGTTCCCGGGTCAATTTCATGTGTAGGGATAGGGTAAATAATGAAGAAAGAACTAATGTAAACCATTAGCATGCATATTTGTAGTTTTATAAACTCTCTAACTAAAAAGTTAGCAACTTAATTGTTGAATATATAACTTGAATTATAACTTTCGCTTACTACACATTGGCTTTGACCTCAGATCTTGTAAATCACAAATTTTACAATTGTGCTCTTGCTTTTTCCTGTAGTAATGCTAAATGGAGTAGAAATAGACCTGGTATTTGAACCATAGGAGCTAGAAAAATGTATTTGATCATGCTTGCATGTGCTTTCACAGCTTTTTATGTAAACAGTCAATTTGTGTACGAGATCAAGCTCAGCTTGCACTGTTCCAGAGCACTCTGCAAAGTCATGTGACTGAGCAGTTTCATTGTTTGGAATGACATTATCAGAATTTCTCTACTCAAACGTGGCATCACCATTTGCTTTTGGACATGTATAGAATGGGCCTTTTTGTAAACTGACAGAACAACAAACGTGCCTGCTTTCCTGTATCAGTCAGTTTAGCTGATGCATGCTTATTGCTGAGCATTCTCCTGAGACTGGAAGTGGACAGAAATAGTTGCTGCTGAATAATTGGCCTGATATTCAATAATGTAGAACCCACCTCTCCTATATCAGTTCAGAAAGTGATGAGGCAGCTTTAAAAATTTTATTACTTGGAAAAATACCTCATTTGTCATTTAGATGGCTCTTAGCTATTCAAATCTGAAAGTTATGGTTGTGCTTTATAAGTATACCTTGATAGCTTTGAAGTCCTGTGCAGACAGTATTTGTAAGTCTCAAAGTTGCTGAAGGACAAGAAACAAAGACAAATTTCTGGGTTCTAGTTGACATAAATGTCTTCTTTAGGTACTTCTCTAGGTCTAGTAAGTAATTTTTGAATTATTGCTTGCTTTGCAGAGAGCTTCCCATGTTGTGTGGTAATGTGTACATGTTTTTTGCAAAATCACGTCATACCATGACCTTAATCATGCTAACATCGCTTGTTAATTGTTCATTTCCAAGCTTGAGCATAAATGCTGTTTGATTAGAGCCTGATTTGATATTGTGATTGTAAATAAAAATAACAATGTTGCATAACATACAGCATTGCTTCCATTAAAGATTTATGCGTCATAATTTGGTCTTTCTTTTTTTTTCTGCACAGATTATCGTGTGGTTGGAGAAAATGCTAGATAAAATAATCAGCATTTTCATAATATTTTTGCTGGTGATTGGAACCCTTCTGCTAGCTCTTCTCCTTACTGCAAAGGTACAGTGTGCTAACGAATATAATCATAGAGCTCATTTTCATTGCTGATGAAGGTTACTGATACTTATGAGATTGTATAGCTTTAAGGATTTTTCTAAATGTTTAGGAACTAATTGCTCTGTAGTTGAACTTGTCACCATTCCAAGACTATAAAATATACAAAAATATATCAAAATCTCAATATTTATATTTCTTTATATTTCTGTGGTTTTTACCTATATGACAAGGCTAATGTAGAGATATTTGGAAATAAAAAAATTATTGTAGTAGAAGAATTATTACCTTACGTATTATAGACAGGAACAGATTTGTTTTGCATCCTGTTGACACTTTCCTTGTCAACAGAAAAACCACTTAGAATTTTTTCTCTTTAATTACCTCACATCAGAAACATTTGCAAAATAATTAAGATGTGTTTGTCAATTTGTTTGTGTAATTGCCTGTAATAACCTCATGGTATCCTTTTCTGAGTTAAATGTACTGAGATTCATGATCAGTGCTTCTCTGAAAGTGATTTTTTGGTTTATGGTTGAGTTCGGGTGTAGGTTTTTTTGCTCACCAGAAGAGGTCACTCATGTACTTTTTTCCTTTTTCCTTAATGGAGCTGTGTTCATACTTGAAACAGTCAATGGAGATTGACATCAGAATCCATTGATCTTTGTTCCATAACTGTATTCAAGTCAAATATTCAATATCCTTTTTCCAAAATGTCGGCATATGTAATGTTGAGTACTTAAAACTGAAGACTTTAGAAGTTGTGCAAACATTCCTGCCTAAAGCTCCCTTACATTCACAAAAGGACTATTAAGATATTTATGAAAGGTGTATTTTATTATTCTTGCTGAAGAATTTTTTTGGTTAGGCATTTTATAGCAGCGCTGGTCGTGGTAGAGCTAAGTATTCATTCATTTTTATATTTCTTTGATACATGGCTTAAAAAGGTGTATCTGAAACTTTGCTTTGTATTTTAGTGCTTCTCTTGACAGCACTGCAGTTATTGTTGAATTTTTCCCACTGCTGTAAAAAGGTTTAAATTTCCATTTGCTATTACTAATGACCAGAATTTGTTATTGTATTGACTATGTGTTTCTTGGGTTGATGGAACTTCTTTCTTCATAGTGGGCTGTTTGCACTGGAAGAATTATATTTTAAATGAACAAACTGTTTACTGCCCCCCTGCTCACCTTCTCCCCGTTGCCCCACCCTCTTCCTCCCAATACTACTCCCCCCCACTCAAAAAAAATCTATTTCTGAATCTAGGAAAAGTTGTCGTTTGTATTGCATAACAGTTCTCATCTCTCTGTTTAATTTAGGTACATCAAGAGAGTGTTCACATGATTCAAGTCACAAGCAGCTTGATCAATGAGACAGTAGCCAGTCACCCAGAATGGGCAAAGTAAGAATGCTGAAGTTAAGCGAATAGTATAGGGTGGATGAACAAGCTTCCAGGTGCTCTTATGCATAGTTTTTAATTTTAAAAAATTCCCTAGGTGAACAGAAATATGAGTGTCTCTCACAGGCAGTTTTAAAAGCTAAACTCTCAGACAGCAGGGATATTTATGCATCACTCTGGAGGACTGTCAAATGTGCTATCTCATTAGAGGACTGGTTGGATTTTGGTGGTGAAGGAAGCTGCATGAACTTTTCTAGCTACAGTTGTGGAGAAGAAACTTGTATAGTGCAGAGAATAAAGAGATCTGTATTTTTTCCCTTTTTCCTATGAAAGAAAAGTGCTGGCAAAGAATTCTCTCTCTAGAAAGCTTCAAGATAGAGCTAAATTGTTTTTTAAATGTGGAGAGATGGATGTGGAGTGCATTTGGAGGAATAGGAGTTGAAGACATTGTTCCTGGAGTGAATGGAAGAAGAGTTCAACGGTGGAAAGAATGGTGGATGGGGGGAGTTGAGTGTGAGTCAGCTGGGCAGGGCCATTCCTGTTAAGAGCAGATGTGTATAGTGTGTACAGTGGGAAGTATGTAAGGTTTAATGACTAAAGTAAGCACCAAGTAGTAAGGGAGAGAGAAGGTTGAGGGAAATGTGTCTAGAGAAAACCATGGATGAGCAAAGGAGTCATTGCTTGAACATCAGAGGGGGAATGGGTGAGACTGAAAGGTGAGATTTTAAGGGGGCGTGTTCCAGGTGGCATTCATTCTGCTTCAGATAAATTGACAGTGGGCAAATGTAAGATACCAATTTAATGCCAGCAAAAAAAGATCTCTTCAGAATAAGAATGGTTGACTCTTTCAAAGGCACATTCTAAATAAAAGTGAGAGAGGTTTAAGAAGATTGAAAGAAAGCAGATGCTGTATTATAAGAGCAAAACAATTTTTTTAAAACATAATTAAAGGATATAGTTAATAACCACTGTAGTAATATGTGCTTTAGCACTGCTAAAGTAATGACAATCATGGGAGTAGAAAGTACTTAAACACTTGGTTTTATTCCTGCATGGCATCTCTTGTGTTGTTTGGCCTTTCTGTTTTGCCATAAGATGGAAATAAGTGGGAATAATGAAGATGGAAATTTGACTGTCAGAAGCTTATGTACATGATGAAACTACTGGAGTACTAGTTAAATAATTTGCAGAATTCTAGCATTTATACTTCCAGTGTTTGCATCCAAATTTGAAGTGTCCATAGCACACTATATTTTAGTTCATTAAGAGTAAGAATACCTCCTGCCAAGTCCATGAAGCTTTATCAGCTTTCATAGCTTGATGCTCATATTATGTTTAGAGGTGAGTGACTGAAATATCTTGGAATTCCAATCTGGAACATTTCTGAAGCATTATACAGATAGGAGAGCTTCCATGTTGATCTTCAGGCACGTGAACAAATACAGCAGTTCTATTTTCCTGAATGCTTTCATTTTGTTTTGGAAGGGCTCCAACAAGTGCCATTGAATCAAGATGTAAAAAGAAAGTCAAAGCAGAGATTGTGTGCCCTATATTCACAAGTAGTGAAATGCTGACACCTCAGTAGGGTACATTGCTTGAAAGTGACATGAGTCCCTGAAGAAATTCACAAGCAGGTGGTTTGGTGAGGACTTAGAAATAACTGATGTCCAAACCTTTTGTCAACTGGTTGCTTTTTCATGGAAACTGTTAACAATTTACATTCAGCTTGTAATTCAAAAGGTTGTGTTTGCAGCTAGATGAGAATGCTTGATACAGTATTTTCAGGAAACTCTGGGGAAAAAAAATAGTGTCCTATGAATAGCAGACATGATGCAGATCTCTTTTGAGAAAGCTGAGATATCAATTTAATTAAGGTTTCAGGAATCTTGGTGGATTTTAAATGCAGTGATAGGCCCTAGATTTAATTGTGCTTTGCTTATGGGAAAATCTGTTCCTTGCTATGTAGAAGGAAACATTCAAGTTGTAGTAAGTTTATATATATTTAACCCTAATGATTTGTTGTTTCAGAATTGTAATTTACGTTGTGTTTTGGCTGTAATGAAGTGGGTATAATATATAGCAGTCAACTTCGTTTTCCGTTTTTAAATCCCCCCCAGCTGGCTCCCAGAAGCCCAGGTCATTCAGAAAGCACTCAATTCTGCAGCTAACAATGTATACCAGTATGGCCGAGAATGGATCACACACAAGGTAAGAGTGAGCTGTCAAAAAACTCCAATTCTTTGGGTTTTTTTTTCATTTCTTGTATTTCATAAAAGTAACAAGAAATAAAAATACATTTGTCAGTAGTTCTTTTCCATGTGTTTAACCATTTTGTTGACAGATCTATTCCTTCCACTCTGGTTTGGGACTTTTGAAGAGTGGGAGCGATTTCAGTAGTTTTTTCTGCTTAGAGGATAGTTTATTTTTAAGAACTGAAAAATCTGTCATCATTCTAATATTCTAATAACAAAAATGCATCAACTAAAATTGAGTTATTTTTTCTTTATGAACTGACTTCAGCTGTCCTATTGTAGGCAATGTGGACTTTTATTGCAGCCACCACCCCTCCCTCTCCCCTAATTTCTGTGTGGGCTGGGTGTGCTATACTGGACAATTTTATCATAATTTGTATAGTTAAGCTAACTTTCTTCAGAAGAATTTGCCAAGATGCTTATTTATAGATATGCTATCTAGCGCACATGTCAAATTATTTGAAATATTTACTCTAAAGATAAGCATTTTTGAAACAGCATTTGTTTTTCAGTGCAGAAAGAAGTCCTTAGTGCAGCAGAATATTTTTTAACAGTCCTTGTATTATGAACCATGTTGTCTGAAGTGTGTATTTCATACTGATACTAATTTTTCTTACTGATGCTAATTTTTCTAATAACTTGGGTTTCAAATGTGCCTTTACAGACAATCTTGTTACTCATCAAGCTTGAAGTTCATCAATGGATGCCTGCTTTGTTCTGTCCTGTATAATAAAAGATTTTTATGTGTTTTAGCTCCATAAGATTTTAGGAGAAAAAGTAAATAACACTGCTGTGATTGAAAAACAAGTGCTGGAGCTCTGGGACAGGCTTTATCACTCTTGGTTTGTGAAGGTAGGTAACTCACTTAAATGATATTCTTATAAACTATCACTTAGTACTATGAGATAATTATGCTAAGTATGCATTTCTGAGGAGGAGTTTAGCAGAAAGTTGGAAGGTTGAGTAAAGGTCGGTAAAAAGAAGATAAAAATTTCAAGTGTGTTAGACAACATTGTTCTAGAGTCACAGTTTTAATATGGCCAGAGCTGTGTCCTACACTTAAGTGTGTTTTAATTTTAACAAGTAGTGGAATGCTTATTGTAAAAATTAAAGTTAGGACTGTAAGAAGTCTCTTGTTAAAGGTTAGGATGTTGTAGTCAATGGGTTTGCTTAAGCTTGCTTACAGAGAATTTTGGCATCCTTCACTGAAACACTTGTCACAGTCCCAGACTGAGTCTAATAGCCTCATTCAAGATGGCAATCAGGTATTATTCACTGGGCAATAGGCCACTTCATAATTAGGGAGGAGCCACTTAAGGAATTAGCTGGTTTTTTTATGGCTGTGTCCTGTTGTCTTCTTGTGTTGCAGTTACAAAGGTGTGTAGTCAGAAGAAATCCTTGTGCATCCAGTTTAGCTTTTAGGTTTAGTGTGATTGAACATTACCTATGGAGAGGTAGAAACTAATGGTGAGAAATGTACTTGGTTGGGCTTCTGCTTGCATTTTTCTTTATTGGCTATACTGGGAAAACTTGTATGTTGCAAACAGTAAATGATGCAGGCAATAGCTCAAATCATTGCCTCTTTCTTGTGTGTTCATTAAGAGCAAAATAGATACCACTGTATCAGTCAAGCAGTAAAGTTAATTTTTAACAGAGGTGAAGCAATGCAACATACTCATATGTAGTTAAATGGGATAATTAACTACAGTTTTCTGTCAGATTGTAATTTTTCCGGTGTACAGAGTACTTCCAGGTATTTTTGGGGATGCCAGTTAAAGCAACTCTAAATATTTAGATGCATGTTGGATCTATTCCTCATTAAGAAAACATCAGTCTAAAGCATTAGCTTTAGACTTTCTCAAATCTCTAAATTTTATTTGAATTTCTGTTTTCTTTGTTTTTAAGAATGTAACACATTCTGGAAGACACAAGGGGCATAAATGGCACATAAATCGTCAAAACAGCTGGCTTGGAGATATTCTGGACTGGCAAGATGTGGCATCGTTTGTTCACGATAACATCGAAACATTTCTCTCGGTTCGTATTCTTTGCACTTAGATGAAATTGATCTAATTTTTCACTGATTGCGATTTCTCCTTAGAGTACCAGTAAAGTTATGGATTCAAGCAAATGGAAAATTATGGAAACGCTGTTGGTGTTATTTACAATTACTTAAGCAAGTGTTGCAAGCCTGTTTAGGATCTAACTGTAAAACAAACAGAAATGTTTATCATAATGAAGCTTTTGTGCTTTCAGCATCTTCATGGATACCAGCTTCCCAGACATCTTCCTGAGGCAAATTGTTATCTGTGTCACCTGCAAGCTGATTTTCAGTACATTATTTTATATAGTCTTTTCTCTTTAAAGAAGAAACCAGTTGGTTTAGGTTATAACTGAAGAAGCTATTGACTATGAGGTTGTGGAAACAAAACCAAGCAATAAAAGTGGGGGGGGTTGTCTTTATTTTGCCTCAAAGTATTATTATTTGTTGGGTTGAAAGTAGCTTATTTTTCTCTTCTTTTATGAAAGTTCTGTGGAGAATGAAATGAATGATTTACACACTGTGAATTCCTGAATAAAAACATTTCACCTTATGAGCAGAAAAAGAGGAAGCATTGAAAGCAATCCAAGCTGAAGTGTTCCACTAAAAAATCATGTTAAATCCAAAATGCTTAATACACAGAGTCAATCCTCAATATAGTTCATCTTTGACTTGGGCTGTTCTCATTATTAGAAGTATCTTCCATTTTGGAAGACTTATTATTTATACCTAACTGGCACTGTAGCAGATCTGTGGATGCTGCTGAAGGTATTATTTGCTTCCAAGCAGTTCTTGGTTTAGACTGATAGGCATGTGTGCTTTTTCTGTCCTCCCCCAATTGCTGCTTAAATTGTTGCAGCTTCTACCATAGAAGAAGGTGTGAGACAAGAAAGAGTTGAGAGAAACTTTATTGCAGTAAACCTTTCTTCAGTTAATTATGAAATTTGCCTAATACTTTCTCAAAGTTAGCCATGCATGCTTGAGGCAGAGTTTAAAAATGCACAGCACATCGTGATTTAAATTCAGTGTGGAGTTTCCTTCTAGGCAAGAGGCACTGAAGGAGGAAAAACTACCTGATAAGAGGTAGCAGCATTGCTGCACAGTGGTTAGAAACCATGATGCTTCAGTAATCTAAGCAGGCTAGAGAAAGGTGAAGAAAAGTGTAAAGAGAATAAATATTTAAGAATGAAAAACATTAATATTAAAATTTTCATCTAGCTAACTTACTTGCTTTACTTCTAAAACCTGGTGTAGAAGTTCAAGAAAATAGTGCCAGCAATTGACTTGCTTTCCTGTTTATTTCCGGGAGCTCATTACTCATCAGCTGTGGGGAAACACCTGTCTTTTTTCTCCATATACTCATGTCCTTAATAGCAGACTGTAAACCAGTCAGCTTAGTATGAAGCTCTAAATCCTGATTTCACATCCTTACTGGGCAGTATTTTCTTTCCTGGCTTGCTCATCTACAGTGCATTGCATAAATACTACTCACACTAATATTTTAAATTTAAAGTGATGAAAATACAGTCTCTGTTCTTGTTTAGGTCATTAAAACTTGGAGATTATGAAAATAAGAATAGCTTTTGCTTAAGTCTGGTGTGTTTTAAGCAAATTTCTTACCTAGACTAAGATACAAAGCAGTCTTACTGTATTCAGGATTTATGTTCTTACCAGAGCATGAAAAGCTTTCTCCTGGTATTTTGAAGTGGAACAACGGGTTGTTAGAATGGCATACTGAATTGGGAAGTGTTAATATTTTAAATTATGTGAGTGCTTTTGGGAGTGTGTGTTCGGGGGATTTAATTTTTCTTTTGTTTAGTTTCTTTAGTTTGGGCTTTTTGTTTGTTTGCTTTTATCGTATTTTATGGAACTTTGGATGGGATTTAGACGAGATTAGATGGGGCTTTGAGCAACCTGGTCTAAGGAAGGGTGACCTTGCCTATGGCAGGGAGTTTGGAACCAGATGATCTTTAGCGTCCCTTCCAACCCAAATTGTTCTTTTTTTTTTTTGATTGTGTTGTTGATGGGGAGAGTGAAGTTGAATACTTGAAATCAGTGCTAGCTTGCAGTTCTTAAGAATATAGCAAGACACAGTACAGTCCTAAAGCTGTGTTGACAGTTTTTTTAACATACAGGTAATTTAAAGACAATTTAATTTAAAGCTGTAAAGAACTGTGTAAAGAAGCAGATATACAGCTGTAATGAGATTTCATCCACTTTTGGGAAAGAATAAATATGTATGATTCATGTAACAAATATTTATGCATAGATTGAGTTTACCAAAAAATAACTATCTTGCTAGCCCCTTGGCTTCCTGAAGTATTTCAGAATAGAACAGATGACAGTTTTCTCTGAACATACAGCTGTTTGACAATGTCATATTACAGCCACAAGCAGATAAGCTCTTCTCCATTGATGGAAGTCATAGGAAATGTTCTTCCTCCTTAATATGAGGAGTGTTTGCTGTAAGAAAACTGTTAGGAGAAGACAGATGCTTGTGTTTTACTTTAGGCTTTTCCCCTAATGGAAGAAATTTTCATTTTAGAGTTGAAAGCATATAATTAAATCACTGATGTAGGTGTGCTGGGGAATTGCTGGTGTTCATTTAATTGGTAACAGCATGCATGGATTCAGCTTTGCAACTTTGAGAATCAGGTAAAACTTGAAGCTTTCTGTACCTCCCTCAAAATGTGCTGTTCATTATAGCGGATATGCTTAGCTGTAGTTTGATGTAGACAGACCTTAATTATTTTAAAGTAATTGGCTATATAAACATGTAAATTGCCAAAGGATTTAATATGAAGATAAGCTTTTCCAAGTCGTGAGTTCGCCTTTTTTTTTTTTTCTAAAAGCTTTGGTGTTAGCAGTACTGCTGCCTTTTTCCAGTATTAGAAGCAGTAGTGTTAAAAACTAGCATAATATAATCAGTGATATGTTTCTGAAGTGGGGTTTATTTAATCTCATTCTTGGCAGAGAGAGCAGGAGGGGAGTCTCGCTTTATGCCTTGTATTTTGTACCCCATACTCCACTCAAAGGTAGTTTACCAGATAGATGAAGTAGGCAGCATGTAGCTGGACTATCAATATTGAATTTCTGAGAAATAAAAAAGACTTGTCCTTTTCTCACTCATCTGCTTTTCCATTCATAACCCTTTTTCTCCATTTCTTGTACATTTGTAGCATTGAGAAAGTGAATTGCTGCTGGCTAAATCTGTGAATGATGACTCAGAACTCACTTGATGTTACATCAGACATTGCTAATGTCTTCTTAATTTGATCTTTTGGCTCCTTGCACAAGAATACTCATCATTCCACCAGCAGGTGGTATCTCATTCAGAGATCTCCCAGGCAGGAAGACAGAAGACCATCCATAGAGATATTACACAGCAAGCTTCAGCTTAGTTAGGTTTCCCTTTCCATGCTTTTAGCATGAGTGATCTGTGCATTTTAAATCAAGTCAGCTTCTCAAATATTTCACTAGCTTACTACATATCCTAATATTTTCTCTGGCTCCAATAATTTCTGTGGGTAATTTCCTAAGTTTATAGCCATTTCAGTCCATTTTTCAGTAATGTATCAACTAGCATGTTAGGGGGCTTCTTTCTACATCTTTGTGTTCAGTTTTATTCCCTTTATACAGAATTGAGTTAGGTACATGGTTTTATCTGGCTTCCAGAAGTTTGCTGACTTGAAGTTCTCAGCAAATTACTGGTTTGGTCAAGTTCCTTTTAACCCTTATTTTCAGGTGTTGACCAGTTTAAAAGTGACCAAGGGGACACCCTACATGCCTAAGAACATTGTATGCTTTCTTGCCTCTTACAGATTGGAAAGGCACAGTAACTGATGCTGATGGTTGTACAGCACAGTGTGATGCATAAGAGAGTCCTGAATTCTCTACAGCTTTGTACCTCTTTTAAACACTGATCCCTTATGACAGCTTACAGAGCAGTGGTTTGGGGAAAGAGCTGTGGTTTTCTGTTATTTAATACTAAAAAGGTAACTAAAAGTAATGTAACATTATTGCATAAATATTCACACTTCGTTGTGTTTTGGAGAACTCAGCTGGCAAGGTGTTAGCAATTCTTTATCTGTAATAGGTGAGCTCATCAACTGAGCTGCAGTAGGCTCTGGGAATCAAACAGCATTATGAACTCTTAGGTGCAGCTGCATGTAATTTGATTTTGTGAGTGGTAGGGAAGAACTTGAGCACATTCTGATGCTGTATTGAGTAATAATTAATGTCTGCTATGTCTGTCTTCTCACCTTAGCTATGAAAAGCTTGTATCTTGAAATTTTAATGATACATATGCGTAGTGAGGAATTACTCTGTAGTCGGAGACAAGTCCTAAAAGATTCAGTTGCTTTCATAAGATATACCAAAGCTGTAGAAAGGCACTATCTGCACTTACTCTAAAGCAGATCCTGATTGTAACTAGTTCAACAGTTCCAATCAATGACTCCACCAAACAAGGATGTTCAACCCTAGGAGAGCTATTCCTGATGTTGATTGAACAACCCGATACCTACATTCAAACTACCTGCAGTTGTATACTCTTGGTTATCAGCCCTCAGGCTAAAGCTTCTAGGGAATGTGTTCAATAAATCCTGCCTATACTGGAGAAACATGCTATTTTGAATAAAACTTTCACAGTCCTACCAATTCTGAGCTCTCCTCTGGCAGATGGAACAAGCTCCTTTCCTTGTGAACTCCTACTCCTAGCAGCTCAACATATGTGTTGCAAGTGAAGGTTTTAACAATTGCTATGATTACTAGTTAGAAGGCTGTTAAATCAGGCTAGTTTTACTCTTTAGAGCTAAACTTTACTGGACCAATTTTCATTAACAACATGCTTCATGCCAATGGTTTGCTTTACAGTCTCCTAATCATTTTCATTATGTTTTGAAAGTGGTCAGTCCTTAACAATCATGTCCTCCGTTAGCTGTGAGGCTAAAAAACCATCATGATGATGCTGTGTAGTTGGCACCAATAGAGGCTGTGCTTAATGGTCTGAGTCACAGGAGTATAAATGAGCTGGCTCAAGAGCTCTTAGGCATGCAGAGCTGGAACTTGATGGGCATCATCTTCCCTCAAATTAAGGAGCTTGTCCTGTTTATAAATTGTTTTTTTTCTCCGGACAACTTCTGCCCCTTGACCTGTGCCCTGGATTATATGCTGTGATAGCTGGGAAAAGTATTACTTTTCCAGACCATGACAGGTGTCTTGTCCTCTTGTTAGCCTGTGATGTTTTTTTCCTCCAATTCTTAGTGCCTACCTCATTTTCTTGAAGGAAAAGCAATCTTCCTTGCTCAGAAAGTTGTCCATCTTCAATGCCTTCTTGCTCAAAGCACTGCTAGTGTTTCCAGGGCCTTTGTTTTCAACCCATGTCACTATTTTCAAGGCCTTTGCTGCTGTTCTGTGATTAAACTCCACAGAATAACAGAAGTCCTCTAGCACAGAAGCTCCTATTCACACACCAAGTTCTAGCAACAAGCTTAAGTATCTGGGAGGGGAACCTTGCATACAACTTAAGGCTTGCTGTTAGCAACAATAGCACTATCCTTCCTGAATACCACCTGGAAGGCCTCTGCTTTAGCTACAAACCATTCCCTCAGAATTCACTGTCCTCTGTGTCTACAGTCCTAATAACATAATGTGCATATGATAATGTTACTTGGGGCTGTATGAATTTGTAACACTGCTGCACCCCCACAATGAATTCATAGTCTGTGGAAGAAGCAAAGGGACAGGTACCAGTGGGAGAACTTTTTTCAGCAGTGTCCACTTCTAACCTCGCTTGAGTTCTCAAGAGACACTAATAAAATCTGTACAAAAGGTGAGCTTTAACATTCATAATTCCCATTAAATTGTAGAAAGCATGAACTTAGTAGGTCTTTCTGTGTTGTAATTCCCTGCCATTTCCCCCGGCACTTATTCCCTCTCAAGATCATGCTTAATAAACTATGTTTAATATGATTCATTCACTTCTAAAGGGCAGGTAATCACATGGCTTACACTCCCTTGTCTGCTTTACAAATGCTGACTACTGAGGAAGGGATTTCTTTGTTTCAGGGTGGTTTTGGTTGGTTGATTGTGTTTTAATTCAGTCTAATTGCTGTTTGTTGAACCAAGACTAACAGTTGCTAGTTTTGAAGTCTTCCCTTACAGCTTTGAACCTGAAGGGCTTTCGTGTCAGAGCTTTTACGTTTTTTTCCACTTACATTAGTTAGTCTGAAAGAGCATTTGCTTGTGATCTCGCTTCTTTTGTATGTTAGAATCACTTTGGCTTATACATTTTTACTGTATTCCTTATGTAACCATAAGCAATCAGTTCCCCAAGCCAGTACAAATTTAAATAGATTATCTAATATTGTTTCATTTATTTTTAATAATTACTTGACTAACTGATGTAGCCCTCTAAATCACAACTTCTGCATTTCACTGCAAATACTTTTAAAAGCATGCATTTCATTACCATGAAAGCTTTTAACAACACATTTATTGAAGTAGTAATTTTATTATTTGCTTTGGAATGTCAGATTTATTTTTACCTAGTGATGTTACTCCTTGTTCTTTGTGTCTTAACATTTCTGCTTTTGAAAAGGTGAATATTTTCTCCCAAGACAAGATCTACTTGACAGCAATGTTAATCACAATAAACAAGTGTCACCACCTCTAGTTTTTTTGCAATTTTACATAATGAAATAATTTTGACTACTGAGAGAAAAATTTCAAAACCTTATAATCGGCTACCTAGAAACTTACCTTTGGTAAAGTGGACATTTTCACTTCATAGAACCTGCTGTAGTGTACGAGTGAGGGAAGATGATTTTTTTTTTAAGTCATCTTTGTATAGTGTGATGGAGCTGAATCACACAGCAAGCAATTCTCTGTCCTTGCTAGTAGCATCCAATGTCTAACTCAGGTCTTCTCCCTCCTTTTTCAGATCCTGGAGTCTCTGTGGATAGTGATGAGTCGCAATGTGAGCCTCTTGTTTACTACAGTTACAGCATTAGTGACAATCCTCTTCCACAGTGGGACAGCTCTTCTCAATTTTGTGCTTTCAGTGGTAAGTAGTATGTCATTGATTTTACATGGTCCATTTTACTGAAGTAACCTAATTGCATGTATTGTCACAACTCAAACTGAAAACTCAAGCCTAAAGTATTGAAAAACATCTTCTAGACTTACCTAATACCAAAATTCTTTAAGATTTTGCAGATTCACTCTCTGTTTGGGGGCATTCTAGACGGAGGAAAAAATTAGGAGGTAGTAAGTCTTCCCGTCGTTGTATTAGTGGAAAATTTGTTTTTCAGGCCTTGAAGGTACTAAGCTGTAGCTTGTAATATCCTGCATAACTGTTGAAATCTTTTGGCATGTCTGCATAAGCATATCCCTCTACAAGCCATTGCTTTCAGGAGATGGAATCAAATTTTGCTGGGAAATCACCAATTTTGTCCTGTAGTTATTGTCCGTGAAAAAAATGATTGCATGAGAGTGTTTTATTTCTTCCTTAGTCCCCAACTTTGCCCAAGATGGCACATTTAACAATGTGTCCAAAAAGCTAGTATACAAAAATAGCAGGCTTGAAAATTAATTGCCAATGATTTCAAGGCACTAAGGCTCAGATACAAAATTTATCTTTAGATGCCTAATGACTTATATCAAGTTCTTTGCATGCCGTTGCTGTGATGCATGATCCTGATGTTCTCTCTGCCAGCAGGGTCCTGCCTCTTGCTGGGGCACTGTGCAGTCAGCTGGTTTAGCAAAGGTAGTTGGGATCTTGCTGTGTTGGAATTCTTTTAAAGATTAGGTGCTTGAACTGTACTTTTTTTTTTTCATTTTTCAGGTTTCCTACTTGCTACAGAAAAGTTTTTACTAGTTTGAGGTGGCACAAACTAATTTAAGTTTTCCAACGAGATAATGCTCAAAGTGGATAGCTTTTCTGCTGACTACATTTCAGTCCAGTTTTAGTCATCTTGAATTGAAATTAAAATACCTGAATTTTATTTTAGGTTTAAAAATTTGTTCTTTAAAGCATGGAAATAATAGACACTGTGTTCAAAACCTCTATTTTGAAAAATTCACCCTCTATCAAAATGTTAAGTAGGACTGTCAGTTTGTGTAGTACATCCATCCATGATCCAGTAAGACTCTGTTCAACAGCCTTTTGAAAACGGATCCTTAGTTACAGAAGTGTCACTTGTATTTCACTTCTGAATACAAGATTTGTCTGCACACATATGCACATAGATGTATGTATATGCCTTTGTGTGGGTGTATAGTTATGCATATATGTATACTCACATGTGCACACACTCACTCACACTGCTTATATTCTGTTACAAAGATTGGAAGAGAAGAAGCTCCATTTGGCTGATGGGCATCTACAGACCTGCAGGGAATGTGCAGATTTTGGAGGCTGTTAAACACACAGCTAAACAAACAACCAGAAAACCTAAAACAAGCAAAAAACTCCCAGCTCACAAAAACCCTGAAGCTTTTCAGCAGAAAATTGAGTATGAAAAGCAGATACAAAAATATTTACTGAATCAGTGGACCTGATACACATGTAATTAGATTGTGTGTTTCTTGATACCTGTGGAAATGCTGAATTATCATTTTGGTAGAGAGTGTTTACCCAGAGTTTTCTCTTTGAATTCAGTCTATCCCTCCTCAACTTAGAGTATTTAATGTTTTCAGCTACAGTACAAATTCTACAGCATGAAATAGTAATCCACCAGTTATTTAACTATGGGAAGGTCTTACTGTTTTGTCTTTGGTAAATTCTTCCTCACAGTCATTGGCAGGATCTTGAATTGTTGCTTAGGAAACAATTTAGGTATCTCAGATATCCTGTAAAAGAGGTCTGAAAGCTTTTAGCCTCCAGTTGGTCTGAGATTGTACATATCATTTGCTGCTGAATGTAGTATTGAGGTTGTTCTACTTGTTGGAGGAGTCAGCAAGCCAGTGGATAATACATTATTATATTCTGTGACTACAGCTTCTTTTTGCATTTCTACACCTATTGTACTAAAAGAAATACATTGATTTCCTAAAAGGCAAGTATTCCAAAATTCTATTCATTTTGTATGGTGCTGTGGTTACATCCATCTTCTTTTAGCAGAAATTGAGTAGGGTTTGTACGTTTTCCTGTCTTGTAGTTCAGCTTAACACCATTTTATTCCACTGCTGTTCATTCCCAGCCATTGCTTTGGCTTTTACCCTTCAGGTGGGTATGTCTGTCCTGTGTCTGCTTAAGAAAGCAAGTTTCTTCTGTAAACACTGGGAAGAACAGTCAGGATAAGCAGATACTATACTTACTGTGCTTAGAGCAATATGCTGCTCTCTGTGTTGAAAACTGCACGTGCAGAAGGATCTGTAGGCTGAGCTCAGTGGAAGGAAGATGCAACATCATCTGAGTGCCTGCTTCAGTATAGAATTTTCTAGTGAAATCAGGAGATGTTATAGTACCTTAGAAATGGCAGAGCCCATGAAGGAAGAAAAATAATCATAATGGCAGAATTACAAAGGATGTTAAAATGTGATTTAAGTTTTAAGATTCTCTTACTTGAAAGTGTAACAAAACATAACTGATGCTGCTACTGGCACTAGACTATTTCCAATTAAAGCAAGGCTTAATTATTGTTATTATTTTTTGAAACTCAAAATGAATATTAACAGCATGCTATTAAAATCTGCTAATATAATGACTTGTTTTATTAGCTAGATTGGTTTATCTCCCAAGGGAGAAGGTAAACACCTGGGGAGATGGAATATAGCATAAACTAATATATGACAGTTTGGACAGGGGTCATTATAGGTCAGTAGTTGAATGTGACTCTCAAATTAAAGTCTGGGAGGGCAGGATAGGGGGAAAATGGTAGTAGCATTTTACTAAGTATAAAAAAAGTTAGGAACAGAGACAGATGTCATTTTGAGATTGGTAATGAAATATTGTAATGATGTCTGCATTTTGTTTTCTGAGCATCTTCAGAGGGAGTAAAGGAAAAGAGCATGCGATTTCTGCAAACTGGATAAAATTCTTGAAAGTAAGAGACTTATGGAGGTCAGGCTGTTTGGCTCATAAAAAAAGATTAAGTTGTGGTTTATTCTAGAATACAAGTAGGTTGGAAACAAGGAAAGTGAAAGAATTCTTTCTAATCTTGGGAGGAAAGAAAAAATGTGAGTCTTGTACATGAAGCAGATATAAGCCATAGCTTACATTTGGAGCATATAGAATGGATTTTTCTTCTTTGAGGTATTCTGTTTCAAGATGGACACAGTTCTGTGATTTATTCTAATCCAATAAGTTGCTGAGCCTGCTAACAGGAAAAAAAAGAAACATAGTTGACTGCATCATAGAGGAAGCTAATCCAATCTGATTATAATTTTTTGTCTTTTAACTGCAACAGTGGAACTGCCATCACTTCTGCTGAGACTCATCATCAAAATCACAGGAGGAATATTCACTTAGGATTGCCAGCTTAACATAAAATTTATGGTTGTGAATTTTTATGTAATTTATATCTGATACCCAGCTGCATAATGACTCTTGAGACAGCCCAAATTTATTTGGCAGTTTTGTTTGCTTGTTTTGAGAAGAGATGTAACTATTCAGCAATTTTTTGATCTGTTAAACATGCTATAAAAGAACCAAAGAGCCCCACAACTAGAATTTTGATCAGCATTCTAGTTGTTTGGTCTAGATGCGACTTTAGAAAGTGTCTGAACAGAGGCAGAAGTTTTATAATGTCTAGCTGTAAATGTTAAGTCCTTTTTGGAGCAGAGGAGAAAATAATTCTTTCAGCTCTGTTTTTCTGAATCCAGGCTTGTGGAAGAGTATCTTGTTCCTTTCCAGTAAAATTCAAGATCTGAAGCATAGCTGCATACTCTAATTCAGTGAAGTATTTATTACCTTGTAATTTAAAACTTCGATTTGTTTTGCAGGTGATTTTTCTGACCACGCTGTTCTACCTGTTGAGCTCCAGTGATGAGTATTACAAGCCAGTAAAATGGGTGATAAGCCTGACACCTTTGTCTCAGCCAGGTCCGTCCTCAAATATAGTTGGCCAATCTGTGGAGGAAGCAATAAGGTATTTCGCTGATTTCTTGCCCTTTGTTGAAAATTCTTCTTTAAATTTGATGTTCAGCTGCAAATAACAATTGCAACAGCTTGTATTTCAAAGATGAGTTGCAAAAAAGATTTTAAGAACCTAGTATTGATGATTTTTTTCCCCTTTGATTGTTAATAAAGCAATTTGATTGGACTTGGCTAAAAATTTTTGAGAGGTCTGTGCTGTCATGAATACCGGTGTTTTGTAAAACTGCTACACCCATGACATCCCGAACTCATCAGGAAGCAGTGTTTGCAGTTGTCTTGGCAGCAGGAGCTGGTGCAGCTCAGTACAAGCAGATGCATGCAGCAAAACAGTAGAAATGGAGGACTTGACATCAGTGCTGTACACATTTCAGAATTATTTAGTTTGAAGTATTTGTCTAATATTGGAAAATAAGTATCCATTTGTACCTGGAACATATTAGATATGCTTCTGGAGTATATTTTCCAGTTCAGTTTTACCTGAAAGAAATCTAGTTCATGATCTCTGTAAACCAAGTTACATCAAAGGGAACACCGGGGGAATGCTTTCCTTATCACACTTGGAACTCTACTGTGCTGCACCTACAGAGTGCATCCACAGTATTTCATTCTTAGTCACCATTTTCCTGTGTTGGCTCTAAACTACTTCAGTAATTAAAGGAGAATTTTAAAATGTTTTTAAATATGGTTCACAAAGATTTCACAGTAAAGCTATTTTTGGGGTGGTGCAGTAAAGTTTACTCATCACAGATGAATGAAATCATCAGCTTTCACCTGTTTAGCAGCTTGAAACACTAACATGCTGGTAATGTAATAAACTAGATTTTAAGTAAGGCATTTAAGGCATTAAGTGTGCTTTTTAAAAAAAGTTGATGCTCTGGGCAAAGTGAACAGATTACATGCTGAATTCTGTATAGCCATTACCTCTTACACCACTGTTTTCTGTGTCATGTTATGCATACATATAATATATGAGTAGGCTGTAAACTGAGGAGGTATTAAAGCTGCTTTCCAAACTCATTACTAAATGCTGGCCATTTTAACAGTGTCAAGGTTAAATTATGTGGTGTAGGATCTTGAACAAGAATGCTAACTGCTGTAGTCATTTGAAATGAAGGGGCAATTCAGGTAGAAAGCAACAGATTTGGAATCCTGCCAAAAAGTTAATAGCCTTTCTCTTGAGTGACTGGTATTGAGTTTTCATTGATCACATGGTTAGTATCTCAGTTCTATCTTTTCTGAATAGTGTGAGTGGATTTAGAAACTGGTAGATGTCTCACAGATTGTTCTCAAATTTAGCCCATTGTAGAGGGGAACAGTGTGAAAAAGTATGATATGGTTTGTTTGGGCATGATGCTATGTGAGGAGGGTTGTATTAAATGCAGTTACAAGTTTGCAAGTATGTGACACAGGTGACCCAAGGTATTTCTCAGAATTGGAATGGAGGAAAGAAAGAAAGAAAATCATTTTAGAGAAGCCACAGGAAAATGAGTAGGAAAGAGTCAGCATGTATCAGTAACTATAAATATGATGAGAAAAAAACAGTGTCTAGAGAATGTGGAATGGGAAGCAACTTGTCATACACAAGGGATCTCGGTCTGTGTATTCACTAAGGTAGCCTGACTCAGTCACTCATATTTCATTGGAGTAGCCTGTACTTGGTGCCTGATTTGAATTCTTTGGAATGATTCTTCTGAAATTTTCAGGTACCTAAGATTTATCCTAATGATGCTCAGTTAGTTTGCATTCCACTCAAAACTTACTGTGATCTTCAATATGTAAATATGGTGCATGTAGTAACAATTTCTCATAAATTTATGCATGCCCAATATGTTGCCATATGAAAAAAAAATTGCTACTTCAAGCCCTTTCTTTTGTCCCAAAGTAGCAACTGTTCTTTCTTTTTGGAGGTGAATTGTTGCTGCAGGGGTAGGAACATAAAAATGGCTTCTTCACCTCATCTGTAAATGGCATGCAAAAAATGGATGTTAATGCTTGATGGTAGGATGGAAGAGGCTCCATTTGTGTTAGGAATTGTCAAATAATGAGACATCTGTAGCTGCTTTCATCATTAGACTATGACAGCATTACACAATATGAACTCACCCTCAAAATATCCATGCTTTCAAGTTGATCAGAAAGATTAGGTTAATAAATCTCAAAAGTCACCAGCTGTGTTCCAGCTCCCACCACTGTTCAGCAGGACATACCACATGCACAAAGCTAAGACAGCATCTAACTAGTCCTGTCTAGAGGGCAGGGATCCATCTGGCAAGGGATAGACCAAATGTTTCTGTTGTTCATGAACCAAATGACATAAAAATAATCATCCTCCATGTTGTCAGTCACTTCTGTGCTCTTTTACTTAAAATGTGTTTGTGAAAAGCATTAGGAAACTTGGATGTAACTAAGGAAGTCTGTTCCCTTGCATGTTTTGCCATTTATTTCAGAGGAAAAGAGCAAGGGGGAAAGAGGAGGGCAATTGGCAACTCGTTTCTGTAGCTCAAGAAATCCCTTAATTTGAAGATGTTGTCCAGCAAGCTCTTAAACAAAGACCTTTTCCCATTTCAGTTTCTCTCATCAGAACTCTGCTGGGTTTTTTTAAATTTTTTTTATTTTATGGACTATAAATAGTTATAAATTTTATAAATACTTTTCTAACTCCTTTGATGATGAGTTTGCAAATGCAGTGGCAGTTCTCTGTTCACACAAATAGATTTATGAGCTGTATAGGGGTAAGAGCAGCTTTCCAGGCTGCTTTGAGCCCAGTGTTGAGTCTCACTGTTTCTGTCAAAATACCACAGATTATAAATTTTAACTTGAGTAGTGGGAATAAATAGATGCAGCTGTGGAGATACTATAGGAGTTTTGAAGATGCTGAGTGTAATCCAAGAACTTCCTGCTGTAGACCATGGGATGAATTGCCCTTCTGGCCTTTGATAGGAAATTTATTCATCCAGGATGCCAGAGAAGCAAAATGCCAGCAGATGTATCAGGTGGTGGGATCGAGCAGGGATTTCACAAGAGCATCATGCTGTACCTGAGCCAAGAGCTTGTTTGGCAAACCAAGTGGTACAAAGGCAGAGCCATGCAAGACAGAAGATCACTTGGAGGCACCAGCCAGCACAGATCCACCAAGAACAAGTTGTGCTGGGAAAAGCATGAGCCTTGCTTTGAGGAGGTGACTGACCCAGTAGGACCAGGGGACAGCAGTGACTGCCACTTGCTCTGACTTCAGCAAGGCTCATGGCAGCCTCCCACAGTAACTATCTTTGGTGAGCATGGGCAGCAGAAGGGGATGACTGTAGGAGCACTGCTGTGGCTCAGCAGGACAAATTCCATCTCTGGGGATGCTGCTGGTGGTGATGTCACTCAGGGCAGTGATGGGGCTGTTGCTGGTAATGGTCAGGAGTGAGGGCTTGGGTGATGGTGGGAGAGTCACCTTCTGGGTGTTTATGGGTGTCCCTTCCTATCTGGGGATGGCAGTATAACTGATGGGAATGTCCCTTGCCACGTGGGGAAGGCAGTAGCTTGATGGAAGGAAGGTCGTCCTCTCCCCAATCCTTGAGGCCTCAGTGCTGAAGAGATGGCACTTTTTCATGAGGGGCAGTGGGAAAGAAGGGCCATGCAGCCCTTGACAGTCAGCAAAAGAACTCTTTCCTAGTTCTCCACTGGGACTGGAAGGCAAATGGCAACCTAAGTGATGATGCTTTGCTGCTAGTTTGGCATTTTCCCATGTTGTGAATATGACTGTAAGCTGGACATTTGCCTTTACCCCAAATTCCTGCTTTTGACTGAGTTTTCCCAGCTCTCACAAGCAGTGCTGCCTGTCTCCAAGCAGCCCTCCAGATGGGAACTGGCAGTGTTTGGACTATGGAACACACATAGATTTGCAAATTGCTCATAAACCAGTTTTTCCAATTTTGAGTAACTTTCATCATGAAAATGCTTTTATGGTTTTAGACTAAACACTTGTGTGTGCTTTGTTGTCATATATTGCATTTGCTTCTCCTCATTGTTTGCATTATGTGGAAGGCAGCATTTAGTCCACAGGGAAGAAGAAAAATCAGTAGTTATGTGATGATTCCCTAAAACACAGTAAAAAAACCTGGGAGGAAGATGACTAGCGATGGCATATGTGACCACAGGGGTTTCTGACTGATATATGAAGTACTGGTTCTCTTTCAAATCAACCAACTGATTTGAAATTCCATGCTGGAATTTCATATGCCATTGCCTGTAAATGAGGTGGGAAGTAAAAATTTAGGAAAGTTATAATAATCCCAAATACTGCTAGTGCCTCAGTAGTAAAAGAGCTTCTGTTCTCTTAACAGTTTTGGTCCTTCAAGCCCAATTGGTTTATCTGTTTTCCTTTTTCTTTGGTTTGCAGTCTCAGGTCTTTCTCAGTCTGATTCTGACTTTCCTAGTGGGGCCACATTTCATTACTCTTTTTTCTTCTTGATATATTCTTCATTTGTCCTTTGCATTTCATCCCTCCACATTTCTGTCTTTTGTTTGTTTGTTTTGCTTTTGTTTGTTTTTTGGGCCTATTTTTCGTATTGCATAAGTGGGTATCAGGACAAAAAGGTGGTCTATTACAAAGGTAATGTTTCGTCATGTGTGAGAGTCTCCCTTTACTGAGTGGTGGTTAGTTGCCTGTGAATATAGTAAATACATGATTTACTTTCACTGAAACTACTTAAAGTCAGCCATAGCAACAAAGAAAGGGAAAGAGGGAGGGGCGTGATGACTGTGACAGAAGGCTTATGCCAGAGTAGGTTGAGCTGCAGGAATTCTTTAGGCATCACTCAGGTTTAGGAAGATGACTTGCTTTAGAAACATGAGGACCACTTGGACCAGTTTACTGTATTTAGATAATTTTAATTCTCAATAATAGTGAAATTTTTTATTGTAACTATGATTAATAATGTAATAATTTGAAGATTGAGGGTAATCATCTGCCCATAACAGTGTGAGATTTGCTTTGTTCAGAAG